TTTCTACATACAAATATATAAAAAAATACTATAAGCTGGTTTATAGAACACTCTTCTGAATGCTCATATGTAAGGAGGAGGGCGAGATGTGACATCACAGCTGGTCCTCTCTAACATGTGGCAGAGGGCCTCGTGGTGAGGACCATGTGTCTTTGTGGAGTGTCATTGGTCCTCTTTTTAACATCTTTATAGATAAATTCAAACTATGTTAAGCCATAACTAGACGTGTCGTAACAGCCCCCATAAAAGAGAATAATGTGAGACAAAAAGAAGAGAATTATATGAGAAAAGTTTGAAGATAGAAATGTCCTGAACATTTTTCATCTCTGCTCATCCACTGCATTCATATTGGTCAATGTAACTGTCCAATCTAAATTGAAATGAAGCTGAATGCGCAGGTTCAGACTGAAAGACCGAGTGCCTGCCAGCCTCGAGCCACAGCCAATCACACAGCTCTGCCAGCCTCGAGCCTCAGCCACTCACACAGCTCTGCCTGCCTCGAGCCTCAGCCAATCACACAGACCAGGCCAGCCTCCGCCAACCCTCTCACAGCAAAGCGGGCAGTTTAAAAGAGCAGCCACTTCCTGCGGCCTCTTGAACACCCACACACCTCCCCAGCACACCCCTCTTGCTCCTTGGCTCCCGCTCTGGCTCACCGCTCTGGCTCCCGCTCTGGCTCCTGCTCTGGCACCCGCTCTGGCTCCCGCTCTGGCTCCCGCACTGGCTCCCGCTCTGGCTCCTGCTCTGGCCTCCCGCTCTGGCACCCGCTTCTTTGCTCCCGCTTCTGGCTCCTGCTCCGCCTACGCCCCATTCACACCATACTCTAGCCACCACCATTGAATTGACCCCGGGGGATCTGAGATCATCTTCAGCTGCAATCGGAGCTCCATTGCTGCAAGTGTCACTGCCGTGGTCAACGCGCCAAACAAATAAATCATTTTATTGTATTAATTGTGTCTTTGGTCTCTTCAGATTGAACAAACAATAAGAGTGCGTTTGGTTCACTTCAGAGGAACCTGATGAAGCCAGAGCTGTTTCAGTGATTATTGACCTCTGACCTCACTTCCTGCTTCACCAAAAGAACGTGCAAAAGAATTCTGTGAAGTTTCTTCATGTACCTCAGATTCAGATTCAGTTTATTTGCCATTTGCAGTAAAAACACCACATTGGAATACATTAGCAAAAGTCTCCAGTGTGCACAGACAAATACAGACATAAAACAACATTAAAAGACAAAAATAAAACAAATAAAACAGTAAACAAATGTCACTGTGAAATCGATCGACTAAAACAGTGTCAAAACAAGTGCAAATCATTAAAGTGCTCTGTTCACACTGATAACAGCCTGTGGATAAAAACTGTTAGCGTAACGAGATGTCCTGCATCTCAGAGAGCGATATCTTCTGCCAGAGGGAAGAAGCTGGAACATGGCTTTCCCAGGGTGGCCAGAAGAGTCATTAACAATCCTAAGAGCTTTGTTTAAAAGTCTGGATTTATAAAGAACCTCCAGAACAGGAAGCTCACAGCCCACGGTCCTCTTTGCAGAGCGGAGCACCTTGTTTAAAGCTCTCTTTTCTTTATCTGTGATGTTTCCAAACCACACAGACACAGAACCAACAAGTAAACTCTCAATGGTGCAGCCATAAAAGTTAAGCACAATCTTAGAGTTAGTGGTAAATTCTCTAAGTTTACGCAGAAAGTAGAGACGCTGACGAGCTTTCTGACGAGTACCTGATTGTTTTATAGATCAGATTGTGGTTCTCCAGCCTCCCCTGAGCTCCAGAATCAGTCCAAACACTTCTGAGTTTGTGCTGTTCGGTTTGTGCCTCATATTCTTTACATTATAATTAATGTAATGTTTGTCTGATGAAGTCTTCGGAGAATCATTCAGCTCCAAAAGCACCGCTGTCCATCGAGAGAGCTTTGTTTGTGCTTTTAGTTTCAATTTCAACTTTAAAAGCAATTGTATAATCAATGATTTCATAAAGAAGTCTGAAATGTTTTGGGCCCTCTGCCTTCATGGGTGTGTTTAGCGCCCTCTGCTGTATTTATTGTGTAACACACTTTTCTAACAGGCATTTAAGGATTATAACTCCTGACTGTGGTATGTGCGGAGATCAGGCTTTGATGGAACTTTAAGGAAACTCACACGTGTCACTGCTGGTCTTCTGCTGGTCGTCTGCTGGTTTTTCTCTTCAGGCACAGATCAAAGCCTGTATTATTTTCTCAGACTAGACTCAGGGAAAGTTTTTCTTCCAAAGGAAGCAACCAGAATAAACCGCTCAAAGTCTGTCAGTAGGACCTGACAATCGTTAATGCAAACAGACTGTTTTTAACCTTTAACTTCTGTCTTTGCACAATCTGAGTGATTCTGTCTGTGCCAAATGTGACGTGTACATTTCTCCTTCATATCTATAATATCTCTATCTTATCTTATTTAATCTTATTTAATCTTTTTTAATCTTTTTTTAATCTAATCTTCAGAGCACAGAAATCGTACGTTTCGTCAGTTTGTTTTTCTGTTTTGCAAAGATGACAGAGGGATGTTGGTTGCATCATGTGGAATGTTGTTTTCTGACACCTGTGAAGTCCCCGGAGGCTCTCGGTGTGTCTTCTGTGTGTCTTTTGTGCGTCTTTTGTGCGTCTTCCGGTGTGTCTTCTGTGCGGTCCTTTGTGCGTCTGGATCTAAAGGCGTGAATGAGGCAGGCGACAGGTGCTCTCCCAAAAACGGTTTTTCACCAAGAGACAAATTAAACGTGTTAATTGTGTTGATGGCTGCAATAGTCGCCTCAACTAATCAAAGTGATGTTAAAAGAAAGTGGCACAAAAGGAAGTAGAAGTCAACTTTAAATAATGAAACATAAACAACACAATTCACCCTAAAAACCAGACATCCCCACACACTGCACCTTTACACCCACAGTCAAATGAAAATATAACCCATAGTTTATTCTTTTGCATTGAAAGCTCTTGTCTCAGGTTCAGATTCAGAAAACTTTATTGATCCCAAAGTGCAATTCATTTGTAGCATAAACTAATCTAGTTCTATCATTGCAGTAAATTAGGTCAGAGATTACAGTCCATAGATTGAGATCGTTCATTTCCTTCTGTGAACAGACCGTGTTATAGAATCATACCTCATTATTCTTACATTTAAAAGTTGAATCAATGGATATTTTGTAGATTAGTAAAACAACACACATATTATTCATTTAAAAGAATTCTGACACCAAAGAATAAGTATTTTTCATAATATCTAGTTAAAATATTTCCATACATTTTTAACAGTGCCTTGCAAAAGTATTGATACAGCCTGAACTTCTGTTTCAACCACAGAGATGCATGTTTCATTTTTCATATTTTACTCAAAGGTTGTAAAGTGAAAGTAAAATAATGCAGGATTTTAGTATTTTAAAAAAGGTTTAGGGTTTGGGTTAAGCACCTTCCCACGTCGTCTTCCTCATGTTGGATGTGTCCTGCCTTATTTTTTACTGTTTTTTTTCTATTAACCACTATTTATAACGTTGTCTGTAGTGTATGACTGATATTTGGCCCAGATGAGCTGTGGATGTCTGCAGCTCCTCCAGAGTAACCATTGGCCTCGTGTCTGCATCTGTGACTGTCCTTCACTGTAAACCCGGATCTTGTAAACACTTGAACTGTTTAGTTGTCATCGCTTACTCTCGTATGTTTTTGTCAAAATAGTTGTGGCTACTAATCTTTACGAGCTGTTTGTAATAATAATGTTAAGCAATAATTACTAAACCATGTAAATTACTTAGAGGGGCGGGGTCTATTTTGTATTTATTTTACCAACCGTAATCGACAGGGCCAAGCCAAAGGAGGCCTGTAGTGCCTGGGTCATCATTTTGTTTTAATATAAAGTAAAGATCACTGTGCTTGACTGAAACTAAGCTATAATTGAGTTGAAAGCATTATTGCTTCTCAATTTGAGAGTTATAGAGTTCATGACCTTAAGACTAAAATGACTGTCGAATGAGATTATATTGTTATAATTCATGGCATTTACAATAAAACTAAAACAGATTAGTACAAACAATGTGTAAGTTAGTCTAGTGAGCTAATGAGTGTTAGTAAAGACTGTTTAATGAACTTATATTGTTATGTTTATGGTATTTCTAATATTTATTGAGGGAACATTAGTTTTGCTATCCGGGTTACAGAGTTTGTTGGAGTTTGGGCAAACAGCTGAGTCTTGGGTAGATTGGCAGTTGTACCAAAGTCTCTCCGCTCTACATACTCTCACTCTCTGAGAGGTTCAAAGCTTTGGCAAAGTCTGTATAAATGACATAAAGTCTGTATTATCCTTATACTTGCCTTATATGCTCCAGACTTCCTCCAAACCCCTGTCCTCTCAGGTGATGCTCTTTGACCTTCATGATGCTTGTTTAGTGACCAATACACTCTGACCATCGCTCCCTCACATGAGACACCTGTAAATATACATAACTGGGAGTAACACACAGGTGGACGTACTGCAGTCATAAGGAATGTTATGAAGTCAATTTAACCAGAAAAATCTTTGTGAACATCTAATTTTTCTATTAAAAAACAAAACCATGCATCATTTTTCTTTCCCCTGTCACTTAGGAACCCTTCAGTAAACCTGTTTTATGTTTCATGACAAATGTGTAAAAGTTCAAGGCCTAATAGTACTTTTGAGAGACACAAACATGGCGTCTGAACTATTGCTTCTGTCCTGAACAAACGAAGAACAGACTGTTATGATATTGCACCGCGGCCCCGTTACACCAGAGGAAGACACAACAAACACCACAACAGCCTCGCTCTGTTTGTGTAGAACACCACCTGAAACATCAGACACACACATCAGACACACACACATCAGACACACACATCAGACACACACATCTGACACACACATCAGACACACCTCAACACACACAGAACCACATAACAAGCACGTACTCATTGACTCCATCTCAGACTGGATGAGGCCCGGGGCGTGGTGCCGGTGGTCAGTGCGAGACAGAGCGGCGCCTCCTGAAAACGTTGTCACATTTCTCAGAGAGAAACAGAACATTTAGAACAGTCTGTGTATTTTAGAGCTGTACGAATCATGCAACAACTCGTAATATCTCTATCTATCCAGGGCCTTTGAAGCATGACAGACATCCATTAGAACGACCCAGGCTCCTCCCCCTTAGCCTTTTCTGTGCACGCACCCAGAGATTATTAATTAAATATTAGAATATTTAATCATAATTTACACACAGCTCAACTCACAGCAGCATAGAAGGCTCCATTGATTTGATTGTCATTTTAAAAACGTTTTACGATCATTATTTCTTAATAACAGACTCTCAAAACAATAATGGCCGATTGCCCTTTGGCAACGCACTCTGTGCTTGTACTTCAGGAGTTAAATACTCAGATTACTCTGACAGTAGTTCTACACTTCGTCACAACGAGCTGCGCCTGTCTCTGTCTGTGAGAGAGAAGCTATCAGAGCTAGCTACGCTCAATAACACAAATATCAATAACACAAATATCAATAACACAAATATCAATAACACAAATATCAATAACACAAATATCAATAACACAAATATCAATAACACAAATATCAATAACACAAATATCAATAACACAAATATCAATAACACAAATATCAATAACACAAATATCAATAACACAGTTAAATGTTAATGTGAGAACACATTATACACATTCTTAACACACAGAGGTTTTCAGAATTATCTGTTCACGTTTTCATGATAAAAATACTGTTTTAATGCGACAAAAGCGATCGCGGTAAACTCAAAGTAACTAATAACATTAGAACATTTTAGGAACAGTTGCAGAGGACCTGGAGGAAAACGCCCATTACAGCTTCGAATATTTAGGGCTGTCTAATATTTGTTTGAATATATATATTTAATATTGTAATTGTATAAGAGCGTGATGATTGACAGCCCTTGGCATCACCTGATTGGTTAACGTGGACAGCACCGTGGATTCTGAGCTATAGCTAAGAGAAGGGAAGGCGGGACTTACCGTAATATTAGAATGAATAAAATGACTTATTTTATATAAACATTTAGGGCCAGGAGGTCAGTTTGATACAATTCTTGAAATGTGTAATTCATTTAGAGTTCCAGACTGTCACTTTAAAAAGAAACTGTTTAAATGCACTCACAGGAGCACAGGGGCCCTCCTCATTGACGCAGAGCGTGGCTTGGCAGTGCAGGTACACGTTCCCAGAGCGGCTCGTGAACTGGAACATGCTGAAGGACAAGTCCACGGACAAACCTTCGCCGTTGTTCGTGATAGTTACAGATTTGTCCTGTGGATTTGGGCAACTGCAACATCATCAAACACACCACGTTTAGTCCTGGCACAACAAAACCCTAAAAGATTAAACCCCAAACACGTACCCTCCTCCACAATGCCATATTTCAAGCTGCTCTTGGGTGAAGGCTCCGGAGTCGCCCAGCAGGAGTCCAGAACCAGAGACAGCAGCTTTTCATCGAGACCATCCGCCGCCAGCTCCAGGTAGAGCCGCTGGTCGACTTCTATCTCCATGTCTGAGGTCAGAAGCTTTTTATGATCCTCGTCCATGAAAAACAGTCATGGTCAGGTTGTATTTTCCATTCTCCAGATTCCATCTCCATCATGACCGAGCTGCACCACAACAGGACACGTCTCACACCTGTCAGAGCCTTTCAATGCACCAATGGGTATGACACTTCTATAGATTTGTTTTTTAGTGCATTAGACTGCATTTCTCCATTCGTTATGTGTGCCTCCAATGTATCGCCATGAATCATTCATAAAGTTAACTGCCTAGGATTTTATTTTTGGCATTTATTGGTTTTCAACTTTCTTTTCATTGGATCGTTTACCTTTGAAAACCAAGAGGAAGAAGGTAACAACAATACGTTTGTTCTTTTGTTTTATAATCTATGAGCCAGTTTTCTCTGTGTTCTTACTGAAGAGTGAATAACGTAGCGCCCGCCTCACCTGTCTTTGACCCGGATCCCACAGACTGAGTGTCCGGCTGCTCGATGTGACAGGACAACTGCACCTGTGCATCTTCATGTCTGGTTATGATTCCAAAGTTGGAGCTGTTCTGTGTCTTTATGGAGTTTTCGTAGATGATGTTACTGCCATTTGACTGAAACACAAAACAACAAAACAACAAAAGGATCAGAGCATTTTTATTGTTATTTTATTGTTCTAATAATCATAATAATGCATCAGTTTGATACACTGCTTTTTCAGACTCAAAGTCTCTTCACAACATTCTTCTCTCTCTCCAAACACAGTGATGATAAACTACTGTAGCCACAGCTGCCCTGGGGCACACTGACAGAAGCGAGGCAACCAGTCTGTGCCGTCAGCCCCTCCCACCACCACCAACCATTCACACACACACCGGACTCATTCTAGTGTCTTGCCTAAGGACACAACCACAGTTTGGCACTTTACAGCCGCAGCCGCCCCACTGTGACACCTGCTGTCCCCAGAGGTTAAGTGTCTTGCCCAAGGACACAACGACAGCAGACATCAGTGGGAGTCAGTGGAGAAAGTCTTATCGTGGAATCGAACCCACAACCTTCAGGTTCAAAGGCCAATGCTCTACCAACTGTCGCCTGATGTTATTTTGGAGAAGGATTACGATGTAGTTTGAGGCTTTTCTTTTCTGTATTTATTGAATCGTTCCTTTGATGAAAAGGCTGTGTACATATTTTAAAGCCTAAACTGGACACACCTTGACCACGGAGCCACAGGTGTTGATCTCGTCGAAGCTGAACGTGACCATGTGAGTGACGTTGTCCACGCGCCCCACGCAGGACTGGTCGTTCATGTGCAGAGTGTTGTAGTCAACGCCACGTTCCTCCAGGAGACACGTGGCCATGGTCAGGGTGGCTCCGAGGCCCCGGCACCGCGTGGGCCCCCCTGCACATCAGTTACATCAGTTAAACCACCGCTGTGACGTGTTAAATGGATGAAAGTCAGAACACAGGGTCTCATTTGAAGGTTTCTTGCCGAAAGTGTTTGTTGCTCTGTATTTAGAGGCAAAGATGGCCCTGCACAGACATCCAGATTCCCATCCGTTGTGTTTTTCTCCACAAAACTCGTGCTCGCTGCAGTACATTTCCTGACAAGTGGCGTGGGTTTCAGCTGTCAACATCAGCACATGAAAAAGAGTTAGTGCCAATAGTAACGTACACATCACAATTACTCAAATAAACCTGTAAAACTCTGTTGTTGTTGTTACAGAACAGTCGTCAGCCTCACGTCATTTACCTTTCCTAATCATCTATCTATCTAATCAAGTCTAATCAAGTCTAATCAAGTCTAATCAAGTCTAATCAAGTCTAATCAAGTCTAATCAAGTCTATAGTCCTACCACATTTGGTCTGGGTCCTCCAGTCTTCCACTTGGACCCGGTGCATGGAGCAGGCCCTGCTGTAGGCCTCCAGGAGGTCACAGTTGAATCCATCCACAGAGGGGTATCTGCAGAGGCTGCTGCTGCAGGCTGAGATGTAGGGCTCTGGGTCCACCACCAGGTGGCAGGCTGAGAAGGGCTGCTGCTTCAGGACCTCACACCTTCCACAAGGAGCAAAGAACATTTAGCATCAGGCTGCACATGGTCTCGTGTGAACGCACCATTTAGCCGTCTCATTGCAGTTGATCGAAGCGTCTGTATCTTCTGTGTATGTCGTCTCACACCTGCAGACAGAGAAGGATGAATATTATGATAAAAGTATAAACATGAAAACATTATTTTACTGTTAATCATTATATTAACAGTAAAATAATGTTTCATGTTTATACTTTTATCATAATATTCATCCTTCTCTGTCTGCAGGTGTGAGACGACATACACAGAAGATACAGACGCTTCGATCAACTGCAATGAGACGGCTAAATGGTGCGTTCACACGAGACCATGTGCAGCCTGATGCTAAATGTTCTTTGCTCCTTGTGGAAGGTGTGAGGTCCTGAAGCAGCAGCCCTTCTCAGCCTGCCACCTGGTGGTGGACCCAGAGCCCTACATCTCAGCCTGCAGCAGCAGCCTCTGCAGATACCCCTCTGTGGATGGATTCAACTGTGACCTCCTGGAGGCCTACAGCAGGGCCTGCTCCATGCACCGGGTCCAAGTGGAAGACTGGAGGACCCAGACCAAATGTGGTAGGACTATAGACTTGATTAGACTTGATTAGACTTGATTAGACTTGAATAGACATGATTAGACTTGATTAGACTTGATTAGATAGATAGATGATTAGGAAAGGTAAATGACGTGAGGCTGACGACAGTTCTGTAACAACAACAACAGAGTTTTACAGGTTTATTTGAGTAATTGTGATGTGTACGTTACTATTGGCACTAACTCTTTTTCATGTGCTGATGTTGACAGCTGAAACCCACGCCACTTGTCAGGAAATGTACTGCAGCGAGCACGAGTTTTGTGGAGAAAAACACAACGGATGGGAATCTGGATGTCTGTGCAGGCCATCTTTGCCTCTAAATACAGAGCAACAAACACTTTCGGCAAGAAACCTTCAAATGAGACCCTGTGTTCTGACTTTCATCCATTTAACACGTCACAGCGGTGGTTTAACTGATGTAACTGATGTGCAGGGGGGCCCACGCGGTGCCGGGGCCTCGGAGCCACCCTGACCATGGCCACGTGTCTCCTGGAGGAACGTGGCGTTGACTACAACACTCTGCACATGAACGACCAGTCCTGCGTGGGGCGCGTGGACAACGTCACTCACATGGTCACGTTCAGCTTCGACGAGATCAACACCTGTGGCTCCGTGGTCAAGGTGTGTCCAGTTTAGGCTTTAAAATATGTACACAGCCTTTTCATCAAAGGAACGATTCAATAAATACAGAAAAGAAAAGCCTCAAACTACATCGTAATCCTTCTCCAAAATAAACATCAGGCGACAGTTGGTAGAGCATTGGCCTTTGAACCTGAAGGTTGTGGGTTCGATTCCACGATAAGACTTTCTCCACTGACTCCCACTGATGTCTGCTGTCGTTGTGTCCTTGGGCAAGACACTTAACCTCTGGGGACAGCAGGTGTCACAGTGGGGCGGCTGCGGCTGTAAAGTTGCCAAACTGTGGTTTGTGTCCTTAGGCAAGACACTAGAATGAGTCCGGTGTGTGTGTGAATGGTTGGTGGTGGTGGGAGGGGCTGACGGCACAGGGGACTGGTTGCCTCGCTTCTGTCAGTGTGCCCCAGGGCAGCTGTGGCTACAGTAGTTTATCATCACTGTGTTTGGAGAGAGAGAAGAATGTTTGTGAAGAGACTTTGAGTCTGAAAAAGCAGTGTATCAAACTGATGCATTATTATGATTATTAGAACAATAAAATAACAATAAAAATGCTCTGATCCTTTTGTTGTTTTGTTGTTTTGTGTTTCAGTCAAATGGCAGTAACATCATCTACGAAAACTCCATAAAGACACAGAACAGCTCCAACTTTGGAATCATAACCAGACATGAAGATGCACAGGTGCAGTTGTCCTGTCACATCGAGCAGCCGGACACTCAGTCTGTGGGGATCCGGGTCAAAGACAGGTGAGGCGGGCGCTACGTTATTCACTCTTCAGTAAGAACACAGAGAAAACTGGCTCATAGATTATAAAACAAAAGAACAAACGTATTGTTGTTACCTTCTTCCTCTTGGTTTTCAAAGGTAAACGATCCAATGAAAAGAAAGTTGAAAACCAATAAATGCCAAAAATAAAATCCTAGGCAGTTAACTTTATGAATGATTCATGGCGATACATTGGAGGCACACATAACGAATGGAGAAATGCAGTCTAATGCACTAAAAAACAATCTATAGAAGTGTCATACCCATTGGTGCATTGAAAGGCTCTGACAGGTGTGAGACGTGTCCTGTTGTGGTGCAGCTCGGTCATGATGGAGATGGAATCTGGAGAATGGAAATACAACCTGACCATGACTGTTTTCATGGACGAGGATCATAAAAAGCTTCTGACCTCAGACATGGAGATAGAAGTCGACCAGCGGCTCTACCTGGAGCTGGCGGCGGATGGTCTCGATGAAAAGCTGCTGTCTCTGGTTCTGGACTCCTGCTGGGCGACTCCGGAGCCTTCACCCAAGAGCAGCTTGAAATATGGCATTGTGGGAGGAGGGTACGTGTTTGGGGTTTAATCTTTTAGGGTTTTGTTGTGCCAGGACTAAACGTGGTGTGTTTGATGATGTTGCAGTTGCCCAAATCCACAGGACAAATCTGTAACTATCACGAACAACGGCGAAGGTTTGTCCGTGGACTTGTCCTTCAGCATGTTCCAGTTCACGAGCCGCTCTGGGAACGTGTACCTGCACTGCCAAGCCACGCTCTGCGTCAATGAGGAGGGCCCCTGTGCTCCTGTGAGTGCATTTAAACAGTTTCTTTTTAAAGTGACAGTCTGGAACTCTAAATGAATTACACATTTCAAGAATTGTATCAAACTGACCTCCTGGCCCTAAATGTTTATATAAAATAAGTCATTTTATTCATTCTAATATTACGGTAAGTCCCGCCTTCCCTTCTCTTAGCTATAGCTCAGAATCCACGGTGCTGTCCACGTTAACCAATCAGGTGATGCCAAGGGCTGTCAATCATCACGCTCTTATACAATTACAATATTAAATATATATATTCAAACAAATATTAGACAGCCCTAAATATTCGAAGCTGTAATGGGCGTTTTCCTCCAGGTCCTCTGCAACTGTTCCTAAAATGTTCTAATGTTATTAGTTACTTTGAGTTTACCGCGATCGCTTTTGTCGCATTAAAACAGTATTTTTATCATGAAAACGTGAACAGATAATTCTGAAAACCTCCGTGTGTTAAGAATGTGTATAATGTGTTCTCACATTAACATTTAACTGTGTTATTGATATTTGTGTTATTGATATTTGTGTTATTGATATTTGTGTTATTGATATTTGTGTTATTGATATTTGTGTTATTGATATTTGTGTTATTGATATTTGTGTTATTGATATTTGTGTTATTGATATTGTGTTATTGATATTTGTGTTATTGATATTTGTGTTATTGAGCGTAGCTAGCTCTGATAGCTTCTCTCTCACAGACAGAGACAGGCGCAGCTCGTTGTGACGAAGTGTAGAACTACTGTCAGAGTAATCTGAGTATTTAACTCCTGAAGTACAAGCACAGAGTGCGTTGCCAAAGGGCAGCGGCAGTCTGAGATGGAGTCAATGTGTAAATTATGATTAAATATTCGTCTTGTCATATGTGTGATGTCTTGTTGCATGTGTGTGTCTGAGGCGCCGCTCTGTCTGTGTGTGTCAGTCTGATGTGTGTGTGTCTGATGTGTGTGTCTGATGTGTGTGTGTCTGATGTGTGTGTCTGATGTTTCAGGTGGTGTCTACACAACAGAGCGAGGCTGTTGTGGTGTTTGTGTGTCTTCCTCTGGTGTAACGGGGCCGCGGTGCAATATCATAACAGTCTGTTCTTCGTTTGTTCAGGACAGAAGCAATAGTTCAGACGCCATGTTTGTGTCTCTCAAAAGTACTATTAGGCCTTGAACTTTTACACATTTGTCATGAACATAAAACAGGTTTACTGAAGGGTTCCTAAGTGACAGAAAAATGATGCATGGTTTTGTTTTTTAATAGAAAAATTAGATGTTCACAAAGATTTTTCTGGTTAAATTGCCTTCATAACATTCCTTATGACTGCAGAACGTCCACCTGTGTGTACTCCCAGTATATGTATATTTACAGGTGTCTCTGTGAGGGAGCGATGGTCAGAGTGTATTGGTCACTAAACAGCATCATGAAGGTCAAAGAGCATCACCTGAGAGGACAGGGGTTTGGAGAAGTCTGGAGCATATAAGCAAGTATAAGATAATACAGACTTTATGTCATTTATACAGACTTTTCCAAAGCTTTGAACCTCTCAGAGAGTGAGAGTATGTAGAGCGGAGAGACTTTGGTACAACTGCCAATCTACCAAGACTCAGCTGTTTGCCCAAACTCCAACAACTCTGTCAACCCGGATAGCAAAACTAATGTTCCCTCAATAAATATTAGAAATACCATAAACATAACAATATAAGTTCATTAAACAGTCTTTACTAACACTCATTAGCTCACTAGACTAACTTACACATTGTTTGTACTAATCTGTTTTAGTTTTATAAATGCCATGAATATAACAATATAATCTCATTCGACAGTCATTTTAGTCTTAAGGTCATGAACTCTATAACTCTCAAATTGAGAAGCAATAATGCTTTCAACTCAATTATAGCTTAGTTTCAGTCAAGCACAGTGATCTTTACTTTATATTAAAACAAAATGATGACCCAGGCACTACAGGCCTCCTTTGGCTTGGCCCTGTCGATTACGGTTGGTAAAAATAAATACAAAATAGACCCCGCCCCTCTAAGTAATTTACCTGGTTTAGTAATTATTGCTTAACATTATTATTACAAACAGCTCGTAAAGATTAGTAGCCACAACTATTTTGACAAAAACATACGAGAGTAAGCGATGACAACTAAACAGTTCAAGTGTTTACAAGATCCGGGTTTACAGTGAAGGACAGTCACAGATGCAGACACGAGGCCAATGGTTACTCTGGAGGAGCTGCAGACATCCACAGCTCATCTGGGCCAAATATCAGTCATACACTACAGACAACGTTATAAACTAGTGGTTAATAGAAAAACAGTTAAAATAAGGCAGAGACACATCCAACATGAGGAAGACGACGTGGGAAGGTGCTTAACCCAAACCCTAACCCTTTTTTAAAATACTAAAATCCTGCATTATTTTACTTTCACTTTACAACCTTTGAGTAAAATATGAAAAATGAAACATGCATCTCTGTGGTTGAAACAGAAGTTCAGGCTGTATCAATACTTTTGCAAGGCACTGTTAAAAATGTATGGAAATATTTTAACTAGATATTATGAAAAATACTTATTCTTTGGTGTCAGAATTCTTTTAAATGAATAATATGTGTGTTGTTTTACTAATCTACAAATATCCATTGATTCAACTTTTAAATGTAAGAATAATGAGGTATGATTCTATAACACGGTCTGTTCACAGAAGAAATGAACGATCTCAATCTATGGACTGTAATCTCTGACCTAATTTACTGCAATGATAGAACTAGAATAGTTTATGCTACAAATGAATTGCACTTTGGGATCAATAAAGTTTTCTGAATCTGAACCTGAGACAGAGCTTCAATGCAAAAGTATAAACTATGGGTTATATTTTCATTTGACTGTGGGTTTAAAGGTGCAGTGTGTGGGGATGTCTGGTTTTTAGGGTGAATTGTGTTGTTTATGTTTCATTAAAGTTGACTTCTACTTCATTTTGTGCCACTTTCTTAACAAACTTTGAAAGTTGAGGCGACTATTGCAGCCATCAACACAATTAACACGTTTAATTTGTCTCTTGGTGCAAAACCGTTTTGGGAGAGCACCTGTCGCCTGCTCATTCACGCCTTTAGATCCAGACGCACAAAGGACGCACAGAAGACACACCGAAGACGCACAAAAGACGCACAAAAGACACACAGAAGACACACCGAGAGCCTCCGGGGACTTCACAGGTGTCAGAAAACAACATTCCACATGATGCAACCAACATCCCTCTGTCATCTTTGCAAAACAGAAAAACAAACTGACGAAACGTACGATTTCTGTGCTCTGAAGATTAGATTAAAAAAAGATTAAAAAAGATTAAATAAGATTAAATAAGATAAGATAGAGATATTATAGATATGAAGGAGAAATGTACACGTCACATTTGGCACAGACAGAATCACTCAGATTGTGCAAAGACAGAAGTTAAAGGTTAAAAACAGTCTGTTTGCATTAACGATTGTCAGGTCCTACTGACAGACTTTGAGCGGTTTATTCTGGTTGCTTCCTTTGGAAGAAAAACTTTCCTGAGTCTAGTCTGAGAAAATAATACAGGCTTTGATCTGTGCCTGAAGAGAAAAACCAGCAGACGACCAGCAGAAGACCAGCAGTGACACGTGTGAGTTTCCTTAAAGTTCCATCAAAGCCTGATCTCCGCACATACCACAGTCAGGAGTTATAATCCTTAAATGCCTGTTAGAAAAGTGTGTTACACAATAAATACAGCAGAGGGCGCTAAACACACCCATGAAGGCAGAGGGCCCAAAACATTTCAGACTTCTTTATGAAATCATTGATTATACAATTGCTTTTAAAGTTGAAATTGAAACTAAAAGCACAAACAAAGCTCTCTCGATGGACAGCGGTGCTTTTGGAGCTGAATGATTCTCCGAAGACTTCATCAGACAAACATTACATTAATTATAATGTAAAGAATATGAGGCACAAACCGAACAGCACAAACTCAGAAGTGTTTGGACTGATTCTGGAGCTCAGGGGAGGCTGGAGAACCACAATCTGATCTATAAAACAATCAGGTACTCGTCAGAAAGCTCGTCAGCGTCTCTACTTTCTGCGTAAACTTAGAGAATTTACCACTAACTCTAAGATTGTGCTTAACTTTTATGGCTGCACCATTGAGAGTTTACTTGTTGGTTCTGTGTCTGTGTGGTTTGGAAACATCACAGATAAAGAAAAGAGAGCTTTAAACAAGGTGCTCCGCTCTGCAAAGAGGACCGTGGGCTGTGAGCTTCCTGTTCTGGAGGTTCTTTATAAATCCAGACTTTTAAACAAAGCTCTTAGGATTGTTAATGACTCTTCTGGCCACCCTGGGAAAGCCATGTTCCAGCTTCTTCCCTCTGGCAGAAGATATCGCTCTCTGAGATGCAGGACATCTCGTTACGCTAACAGTTTTTATCCACAGGCTGTTATCAGTGTGAACAGAGCACTTTAATGATTTGCACTTGTTTTGACACTGTTTTAGTCGATCGATTTCACAGTGACATTTGTTTACTGTTTTATTTGTTTTATTTTTGTCTTTTAATGTTGTTTTATGTCTGTATTTGTCTGTGCACACTGGAGACTTTTGCTAATGTATTCCAATGTGGTGTTTTTACTGCAAATGGCAAATAAACTGAATCTGAATCTGAGGTACATGAAGAAACTTCACAGAATTCTTTTGCACGTTCTTTTGGTGAAGCAGGAAGTGAGGTCAGAGGTCAATAATCACTGAAACAGCTCTGGCTTCATCAGGTTCCTCTGAAGTGAACCAAACGCACTCTTATTGTTTGTTCAATCTGAAGAGACCAAAGACACAATTAATACAATAAAATGATTTATTTGTTTGGCGCGTTGACCCCGGCAGTGACACTTGCAGCAATGAGATCGATTGCAGCTGAAGATGATCTCAGATCCCCCGGGGTCAATCACTGGTGGTGGCTAGAGTATGGTGTGAATGGGGCGTAGGCGGAGCAGGAGCCAGAGCGGGAGCCAGAGCGGGAGCCAGAGCGGGAGCCAGAGCAGGAGCCAGAGCGGGAGCCAGAGCGGGAGCCAGAGCGGGAGCCAGAGCGGGAGCCAGAGCAGGAGCCAGAGCGGGAGCCAGAGCGGGAGCCAGAGCGGGAGCCAAGAGCCAGAGGGGGTGCTGGGGAGGTGGTGGGTGTTTAAGAGCCTCAGGAAGTGGCTGCCTTTTAAACTGCCCGCTTTGCTGTGAGAGGGTTGGCAGGAGGCTGGCCTGGCTGTGTGATTGGCTGAGGCTCGAGGCAGGCAGAGCTGTGTGATTGGCTGAGGCTCGAGGCTGGCAGAGCTGTGTGATTGGCTGAGGCTCGAGGCTGGCAGGCACTCGGTCTTTCAGTCTGAACCTGCGCATTCAGCTTCATTTCAATTTAGATTGACAGCTACATTGACCAATAAGAATGCAGTGGAAGAGCAGAGATGAAAAATGTTCAGGACATTTCTATCTCCAAACTTTTCTCATATAATTCTCTTCTTTTTGTCTCACATAATTCTCTTTATGGGGGCTGTTACGACACGTCTAGTTATGGCTTAACATAGTTTGAATTTATCTATAAAGATGTAAAAGAGGACAATGACACTCACAAAGACACATGGTCCTCACCACGAGGCCCTCTGCCACATGTTAGAGAGACCAGCTGTGATGTCACATCTCGCCCTCCTCCTTACACTGAGCATCAGAAGAGTGTTCTATAAACCAGCTTATAGTATTTTATATATATTTGTATGTATAAAATACTATATATTTATATACGGTTAATGTAGTGTAGTATACAGTATATAGTACATACAGTATGTAGTATATATAGTACACACAGTATGTAGTATATATAGTACATACAGTATGTAGTATATATAGTACATACAGTATGTAGTATATATAGTACACACAGTATGTAGTATATATAGTACACACAGTATGTAGTATATATAGTACACACAGTATGTAGTATATATACTACATTCAGTATGTAGTATATATAGTACACACAGTATGTAGTATATATAGTACATACAGTATGTAGTATATATAGTACACACAGTATGTAGTATATATAGTACACACAGTATGTAGTATATATAGTACACACAGTATGTAGTATATATACTACATACAGTATGTAGTATATATAGTACACACAGTATGTAGTATATATAGTACACACAGTATGTAGTATATATAGTACACACAGTATGTAGTATATATAGTACACACAGTATGTAGTATACAGTTTCCTGTATGACTTCCATGCATCCTGCCGTCCCATTGGCTAACCGAGCTGGATCAGGTGTTGTCAGAGATGTATATAAACCATGGGTGGTTGATGGTCTCCTCCAGAGCCCAGAGCTCTGTGATGCACCATGAAGGAGGGTCTGGACCCAGAGACCTTCTGTTACCCACATCTGAACTCCTCCTGCAGGAGACCCAGCCTTCCTTATGTGGAGGCCATGCTCATCTACGTCCTGCTGTCCTTCATCTCTCTGCTCACAGTGGCCCTCAACCTCCTCGTCATCATCTCCATCGCTCATTTCAGGTCCTTCAGCCTCTCCTGGTTCATCCTCTCCTGGTTCAGCCTCTCCTGGTTCAGCCTCTCCTGGTTCATACTCTCCTGGTTCATACTCTCCTGGTTCATACTCTCCTGGTTCATACTCTCCTGGTTCATACTCTCCTGGTTCATCCTCTCCTGGTTCATCCTCTCCTGGTTCATACTCTCCTGGTTCATCCTCTCCTGGTTCATCCTCTCCTGGTTCATCCTCTCCTGGTTCATACTCTCCTGGTTCATACTCTCCTGGTTTCTTTCTACTATATTTCATAGTTGATTTGTTTCTATATTCCTGACGGGAACAACATGCTGTGTGTTTATTGTTTTTGCCTTTTATTCCGTGTCTAACTCCCTGATCCGTGTGTTCAGACAGCTGCACACATGCACCAACCTGCTGCTCCTCTCTCTCGCCGTCTCCGACCTCTTTGTGGGCCTCATCCTGATGCCCGTGGAAATAATCTACATCGAGAGGTGCTGGAATCTGGGCGACGTGGTTTGCAGCGGCTACTACCTCATCGATTACGTCATCACCTCCGCCTCCGTGGCCAACATGGTGCTCATATCTGTGGACCGCTACATGGCCATCTGTGACCCGCTGAGCTATAACAGTAAAGTGACCACACAGAGGGCCAAGCTGTGTGTGCTGTTGTGCTGGCTCTGTTCCATTCTTTACAGAGTAGCAACGATGCACGACCAGTTAGAACACCCCGGAATGTCCAACTCCTGTGCCGGGGAGTGTGTGGTCATCATCAACCATGTGTCCGGTGCCATTGATCTGGTCTGCACTTTTATCATTCCTATTCTCATCATCATCATTCTATATCTGAGGATTTTCGTGGTGGCGGTGTCACAAGCCCGAGCGCTGCGTTCCCAAATGTCTGTGACCACGCAGCAGAAACGACAGGAGACGGCAAACAGGCAGGAGCTGAAGGCGGCCCGCATCCTAGGACTGGTGGTGGTTGTGTTTTTGTGTTGCTTCTGTCCGTACTACGTGCCCAGTCTGGTGGGCGAGGACACGGCCGTGGACGCCTCCTCGGTGGACGTCGAGATTTGGTTGGCTCATTTTAACTCATGTCTTAACCCCGTCATCTACGCCTTTTTCTACCCATGGTTCAGGAAGTCCATCAAACTGATTCTGTCTCTGAAAATATTCAAGTCTGGAAGCAAAGACCTGAGAGTCGCTGAGACTCTTTGAAACATATTTATCTTGTGTCTTTGTTGTATTTAAAACATTTAAAACAGCAGGTCTCCTTTCATCACAGTTTGGTGTTCACTGAAATGAACAGATGTTTTAAATGTTTTGATCTTTTTCAAACATAATGAATTATTATAATAAACTCATGTTAATAATCATTTATGTCTTAAATAAACATTAGACTTTACATGAAGCAGTTTAGTCGACAAGAAACACATTCGTTTGATGAAAAACGCCCTTACAAAGGTCCCAGGACTGTGTGAGAATAAATGGAGAAGATACATAATAAGTAAATGTTTTAAATGTAGAAGTTTTTAGTGACACAATTACTACACATTTAAAGTTCAACATGTGTTTTCTCTCATGAATAACAAACGTAATAAAATGATTAATAAAACATGTCTCTTGCTTTTGTTTCAGGAACAAACTGAGTTTACAGGTTTTTATTCAACTTTACTTTTTGTTTGTTGTTGATAAAGATTTGTCAAAGTTCATAGAAAAACAGCCACAAACGCCTTGCTAAAGCCATTTCTTTTTTGTCTCTGTCTCTCTCTCTCTCTGGTCTCTCTCTCTCTGTCTCTCTCTCTGTCTCTCTCTGTGTGTGTGTCTCTCTCTCTGTGTGTGTGTCTCTCTCTCTCTGTGTGTCTCTCTCTCTCTGTGTGTGTCTCTCTCTCTCTCTGTCTGTCTCTCTCTCTGTGTGTGTCTCTCTCCCTCTCTCTCTCTCTGTCTCTCTCTCTGTGTGTGTGTCTCTCTCTGTGTGTCTCTCTCTCTATGTCTCTCTCTCTTTCTGTCTCTCTCTCTTTCTGTCTCTCTCTCTCTGTGTCTCTCTCTCTCTCTGTCTCTCTCTCTTTCTGTCTCTCTCTCTTTCTGTCTCTCTCTCTTTCTGTGGGCCTCATTTATGAAACTTGCGTACGCCCAAATCAGATGTAAACTTTTTGGCATTAATCAATCTGGACGTGGGCGTACGGTACGCACAAAATAAAATATTGGGGGACTCCTGAGGCAGCTGTCCAGTACCGTCAGGCCAAGCGTGCCTCGGCCCGGGCTGTTGCAGAGGCAAAAACCCGGGACTGGGAGGAGTTTGGAGAGTCCATGGAGTATGACTCTCGGTCAGTCTCAAAGAGATTCTGGCAAACCCTCCGGCGCCTCAGGAGGGGGAAGCAGTTCTTTGCCAACACCATGTACGGTGCGGATGGAGAGCTGCTGACCTCGACTGGGGATATTGTCGGGGAAATTTGGAGGTTTGGAGGCAGAGGCTGAGGATGTTGGAGCAGATACTTCCATCTCTCTGGCTGAGGTCACCAAGGTGGTTGGCGGCCTCCATGGTGGCAAGGCGCCGGGAGTGGATGAGATCCGTCCTGATTATCTAAAGTCTCTGGATGTTGCAGGACTGTCTTGGGGGCGGTGCCAATGGAGTGGCAGACCGGGGTGGTGGTCCCTCTCTACAAGAAGGGGGACCGGAGAGTGTTTTCGAATTATAGTGGGATCACACTCCTCAGCCTCCCCGGTAAGGTCTACTCCAAGGTACTGGAGAGGAGGCTACGTTCGATGGTCGAATCTCGGATTCAGGAGGAGCAGTGTGGTTTTCGTCCCGGCCGCGGAACACTGGACTAGCTCTATACTCTCCATCGGATACTCGAGGGTTCATGGGAGTTCGCCCAACCTGTCCACATGTGCTTTGTGGATCTGGAGAAGGCGTTCGACCGTGTTCTCCGGGGTGTCCTTTGTGGGGTTCTCCGGGAGTACGGGGTCGGGGGTCCTCTGCTGAGGGCCGTCCGGTCCCTGTATGACCGGAGCCAGAGCTGTGTTCGCATCAGCAGTAAGTCAGACCTGTTCCCGGTGCATGTTGGCCTCTGTCAAGGCTGCCCTGGTGGGTGCAGTGGGCCTTCCTCAAGTGGAGGAGTTCAAGTATCTCGGGGTCTTGTTCGCGAGTGAGGGGAGGATGGAGCGTGAGATTGACAGGTGGATCGGTGCAGTGTGCGCAGTGATGCGGTCTCTGTATTGGACCGTTGTGGTAAAGAGGGAGCAGCGTCTGCAGTCAGAGCTGTATCGGACCGTTGTGGTGAAGAGGGAGCTGAGCCGAAAGTCAAAGCTCTCGATTTACCGGTCAATCTTCGTTCCCTCCCTCACCTATGGTCACGAGCTTTGGTAATGACCGAAAGAACGAGATTGCGGATACAAGCGGTCAAAATGAGCTCAGAGTAGAGCCGCTGCTTCTCCACATCGAGAGGAACCAGTTGAGGTGGCTCGGGCATCTGTTCCGGATGCCTCCTGGACGCCTCCCTGGGGAGGTGCACCGGGCACGTCCCACCGGGAGGAGGCCCCGGGGAAGACCCAGGACACGCTGGAGAGACTATGTCTCTCAACTGGCCTGGGAACGCAGTGTGTAGAGCATTGGCCTTTGGGCCTGAAGGTCGTGGGTTCGAGTCCCCTACAAGACCTACTTCACGACTCCCACTGATGACTGCTGCCGTTGTGTCCTTGGGCAAGACACTTAACCCCACAATGCCCGAAGCCCCTGCTGGAGGATCTCAGCTCCTGTGGACTCAGCACCTGCAGGAGGATCAGTGAGGGGCTGGTGCTCTGTGACTGGGTGCAGCTCTGACTGACACCCCCCCGACCCAGAAATGGATTCATGGGAAGAAGATGGATGGATGATGTGCACAGAGGAAGAAGAACAGAGGTTAAACTCCCTGCAGTGATGAGGAAACAACTGAATGACTCATTAAATCATTTGGTTAAAATGTTGTACGGTTAATTTTTAAAGACAGAAAATCTCATTTTGAGAAATCTTAAAACAACATTCTAGGTTTAAATCCCAAACGAACCCAAGACTATATACAAAGACAAAATAAAGTTAAAGCCAAAAGCGGCGTCCAACGGCCCTCGCCACGCCGTGCAAAGGAGATGGCGCTGACGCCCGATCTTCATACAGCCCTGATGGGAGATAGCCTTGGCATTTGGGCCTGAAGGTCGTGGGATCAATTCCCCCACGAGCCCTGCTCCCGCTGATGTCTGCTGCTGTGTGGATTACAGGAGAATCTTTGAAACATTTAAATGGATTAATTGTACAGTGTAGGATCATATTTGGCTAATTCTGGTATATTTACATGCATAATGTATTTTAATATGCACTGTCCCTTTAATAAATAAATAAATAAATAAATATTTAGTAACTTCCACCATTTTCTATTGAAAAACATACATTTTAATTAACAATGTACTGAAAAAACTCTAATAGAAATACTAAATTCTCAATAGAGTTTTGAAGGTTGAACAGATTTTTCATGTGATTGGAGTTGGTGTTGGATCTTAGACTATAAATGAATTATATGTTTCAAAGGACACAATGAAGACCATGTGAAGACCATGTGAGCAGATTCTCTTGGGGTGTCTCCCTCCAATAAGGCGGCTCTGACGGAGGATGGACATGATATAAAAGATGGAGTCCTCTCTCTCTTCCTCATCCTCTTCCTCTGATCATGGAAACAGCAGAAGACGAGCGCTGCTTTGCTCTCATCAACAACTCCTGTAAAAAGATCCATTTCTCTGAACCAGACGCGAGCTCCGCCCTCTGTGTCCTCTGCAGCATCACCGTCCTCACCGTGCTGCTCAACCTCCTGGTCGTCATCTCCATCTCCCACTACAGGCAGAGCCGCAGCACCCACCTGCACCCATCAGCACCCACCTGCACCCATCAGCACCCACCTGCACCCACCAGCACCCATCAGCACCCACCTGCACCCACCTGCACCCATCAGCACCCACCTGCACCCATCAGCACCCACCTGCACCCATCAGCACCCACCTGCACCCATCAGCTCCCACCTGCACCCATCAGCTCCCACCTGCACCCATCAGCACCCACCTGCACCTTAATATTCAACAGTGTTGCTTGTTGTGCGAATGTGTTGAAAGCACAGACTGTAAATAGTCTTTATGGTACTGGATTTATGGTGTTTGTTACTATGGGATCTTATACGACTTAATGTTAAATTAATACAACCATGAATCTTTTGAACTATCACAAAATGTCTATATAATATCACAAGGAGTTATTTCTTTACTTATATTTCAAGACATTGTAGTGTCCAAACTCTATAACAATAATTAAACTCTCACAGGAGTCAAGAGTAAAGTTTAGAGAGTATGTTTATTACTCAGAGTGACAATACAGGAGACTGCTTATAACTTTAGATTATATCGATTATCATGACCCGAAAACATGATATATGTCTAAGATTTATTTCTAATGGATTTCCACAATACTGAGCCTTTTTCCACAATAGTATTTCCAATATAAAGCCAAAACTTAATGTTATGGAAGTTCCTGATGCTTTCTCTTCCTGTTGCAGGCAGCTCCACACGTGCACCAACCTCCTGCTGCTCTCCCTGGCCTGCTCCGACCTGATCGTGGGGGTCCTGGAGATGCCCATGGAAATCCTTCTTTATCGTGGTTGCTACTTTTTGGGAAACTTTATGTGCGGCCTTTATGGCTTTATGAGCTTCCTGGTGATCAGCGTCTCTGTGGGAAACATGGTATTGATTTCTATAGATCGATACATCGCGATATGTGAACCCCTGTTTTATCACAACAAAGTCACATACAAACGTGCGCAGCTCTGTGTCATCTTCTGTTGGCTGTTTTCAACCGTTCACGCAGTCTGGGTCGCACGAGAGTTCATTCAACAACCGGACGTGTATAGTTCCTGCGTAGGGGAGTGTGTGATTGTGGTGGACAGGGTGGAGGCCGCGGTGGACCTGGTCGTGACTTTTGCAGCTCCGATCAGTGTAATCACAGTTTTGTATGTCCGGGTGTTTGTGGTGGCGGTCACTCAGGCTCGAGCGATGCGTTCTCAAGTTACTTCTGTGTCAATGCAGAAATTAGGGGCCAAGAAATCTGAGCTAAAAGCAGCAAGGGCCCTTGGTGTGGTCATACTGGTGTTTATCATCTGCTCGTGTCCGTATTATGTTTTCAGTTTGTTGGCAGAGAGCGGACTCACGGACTCCTCGGGGGACGCAGAGTTATGGCTGCTGTATTTTAACTCCTGCATCAATCCAGTCATCTATGCGTTCTGTTATCCCTGGTTTAGGAAGGCCATCAGAAGCATCGTGACACTGGAGATCTTAAAGCCAGACTCTAGTGTAATAAACATGTTGTAGACTTCATTTTGGAAGCGGGTTTTCTTCCAAACTCTTGTAAAACAAAAAGGAACAGAAAAGTGAGTTTACTTTTGAGAGACGAAGAAAAGAAAGGTGCATCATTATGAACTTATATTCTGTTGTTGAAGAGTTGGCAGGACCCTTCAACAGAGACTTCAGGACCCTTCAACAGAGACTTCAGGACCCTTCAACAGAGACTTCAGGACCCTTCAACAGAGACTTCAGGACCCTTCAACAGAGACGCTCAGGCCCTTTCTCATTTTGAGTAAAAACACATCTGCGCGGCTCCATTTGAAGCTAAAAGTCTAATGTTTATTTTTGTTATTGTTGAGAAATAGTTTTAAAAATTAGAAATAGTGCTGTCCAAAATATCACGTATATATATACAGTACGTAAATATCACAAATTAATTGACATCTTTCATATAGATTTATATGAAAGATTTTTAAAATTGCACTATCAATTTGTTTGACTTACTTCACTTATATTTGGCTTTAGAAAAACTACAGGAGTCAGAGCCTCCAGATCCCCCTGACCCCCCTGAGCCGTAGTATTAACAGTACGTAACAGTAACAGTAACAGTACGTAACGTAGTAACAGTATTTCCTGCAGCAGCGTCGACCTTTTGTCGTTGAACACCTTAAAACCAGAGACGTTTTTGACAGTTACAGTCGAGGCTTTACTTTGTGAAACAGAAACACTACAGAGAGAGGAAGTTACTTTAGTTACTTTAGTTACTTTGATGTAATCAGTTTTTATCCAATCCAATCCAATCCAGTTTATTTATAAAGCACTAATAAAAACAACATGGTTGACCAAAGTGCTGTACATAAAAAGACATACACAAATATACATTTAAAAAATACAAAACAGTGGCAAAAAAAAACACTATTTACAGCAAACAATCAATTGAAATCAATTAAAAGCCAATGAGAACAAGTGTGTCTTAAGACGAGACTTAAAAACAGGAAGTGACTCAGACAGTCTCACACACAGGGGCAGCTCATTCCATAGTTTAGGACCAACAACCGAAAAAGCTCGATCTCCTCTGAGTTTCCGTTTAGTCGGAGGAACCCAGAGCAGAGCCTGATCTGCCGACCTAAGCGAACGTGATGGAGCATAGGACGTCAGTAGGTCAGACCGATAGCGCGGAGCAAGGCCATTCAGGCATTTAAATTAAATCATTAGATTAAATTAATTAAATTAATATTAGATTAAAATCAATCCGGTAGCGAACAGGAAGCCAATGAAGTGATGACAGGACCGGAGAGATATGGTCAAACTTCCGAGTTCCTGTTAACAGACGCGCTGCAGCGTTCTGTACCAGCTGCAGACGAGCAAGTGAGGACTGGCTGATCCCTGTGTACAAGGGGTTACAATAGTCCAGCCGAGTTGTAACAAAAGTGTGAATTAAAGCTGCACTAACTGACTTTGGGATTTTGAAGCCGCGGACTCGCTGGCCTCTCTCTTTCTGCTCCCCTCCCCGCACCCACGAAGCTATCGCCCCCCACACACACCCACTGTTGGGACGGAGCTAGCGTCTCCCAATATGGATAATACATGGACATGGATTTGCACGTGGATGGCGTGACCATAGAGCGATAGAACCGGGAAGCGCGGAGGAACGAGACTTTCTTTTGGATGGCTGTCTCGCTGTGTAAGCAGTAACCAGTGACGAAGACGAGGAAGTTTCACGTTAGCTCCGCCGCTTGTTGTGCTAATTTAGCCGTCTATGCTAACGGACCTGTAGATTTCTCACGAAAGTGGGGGCTAGTGGTGCGCTGTGATTGGTCACAATCTGCGACCCGAAACACATTCTCTTCCTTGTTTCATCAAAACTCGATCTAAAATATAATGTCAGACCAACACAAATCTGCGATACTTTTTCTTCAAAAGGACGTATATCCCAATGCACTACATGGACATGGATAGCATTTTCATAATGAATACAAAAATAAAGTCAGTTAGTGCAGCTTTAAAATTTCAAAATTCTGTCTTGAAAGGGAGGACTTTATTTTAGCAAGTTGCCTTAAATGGAAGAAACTAGACTTCACTACTGCACTTATTTGTTTATCAAATTTAAAATCAGCATCCATTTTCACTCCAAGGTTTGAAACTATGGGCTTAACAAATTGTGTCAGAGGTCCCAGGTCCACGGAGCTACTGCTGCCATTGCTGGGCCCGACCAGCAGAACTTCACTCTTTTTTTCATTGAAATGCAAAAAGTTTGCTGCCATCCACATTTTGATTTCAGATATGCACTCGAGAAGTTCGGTGCTGCAAAAGTTATTGCTACGCTTAAGGGGCACATAGATTTGGCTGTCATCTGCGTACAGGTGGAATGACACCCCAAACCTCCGGAGGATAGTTCCTAATGGCAACAGATATAAAGAAAACAGGAGTGGCCCAAGGATGGACCCTTGCGGCACCCCACCCGACAGGGCGGCTGTGGAGGAAACAAAGTCACCAACTCTCACACAGAAGCTCCTATCTCTCAGATAAGATCGGAACCATTCCAGAGCATAGCCCTGAATGCCGACTGCGTGTTCAAGGCGACACAGGAGGGTTTCATGATCCACTGTGTCAAATGCGGCGGTCAAGTCCAGCAGTACTAGCGCCACCGTGTGGCCAGAGTCAGTGGACATCAGGATATCATTATAAACTCGTAACAACGCTGACTCTGTACTGTGGAGGTTCTTGAAACCAGATTGGAACACCTCAGGAATCTCATTTTCATCCAGAAATGACTTCAGCTGGGCAAAGACGATCTTTTCCAAGATTTTGGACACAAACGGAAGTTTTTATATTGGACGATAGTTTGAAGGATCATTTGAATCAAGGCCACACTTCTTAATTAATGGCTGGACAACAGCATGTTTAAAACTGGCAGGCACCACTCCCTTAATCAGGCTATTATTCACAATGTGCAAAACAAAAGGAGCTATAGTGAAAAACACTTCTTTGAATAGGCGCGGTGGGATGGGATCATCCGGTGAACCAGCCGGCTTCATTTGACTGACCACCGTTGTCAAGCAAGAGAGTGTCACAGGCTCAAACTGAAGAAATACAGCTGTACAGGTCACAAATACAGAAGAGCCAGCCGGTGTAGGGCCGATTAAGGCCCTAGTGGCCACAACCTTATTTATAAAAAAGTGCAGGAGTTTTTCACAAACTATAATTGATGCTTCAAGGCTATCTGAAGGGGGAACATTAAGAGCAGCATTCACCATACTATACAGAACACGAGGGTTGTTCCTGTTGGATGTGACAATATCATAGAAATACCGTGCCTTAGCAGATTTGACACATTTCTGATAATTGTGTAGACTGTCAATTAAGATTTGATAGGAAATTTGCAGTCTATCCCTTTTCCATCTTCGCTCCACTTTTCTGCACTCACGTCTAGCTGCGCGAGTGGACTCATTTAGCCATGGCTCAGAACTCGGCTTGGGACGCCTTGGTCTGAGAGGAGCCACATGGTCTAAAATAGACCGACAGGCAGCATCAAAACAAATAGAAAAACCTTCACTATCACAGTCAAACCCAGAATGAACGGCCAAATGGGACTGGTCAAAGGCAGCAGAAAACTGAGCGACAGTTTTATCTGAAATGTTGCAGAATTAAAAAAATACTTTGGAAATTGGCATGTTTTTATTTGCAGTAGTTTTGGGGTTTTATCCTGTAAATATATTGTTATATATTGAATATTGAGATGTTAAAATAAATATATCAAGTTATATATTTTCTCCATGTGGCCCAGGCCTGTGGTCGTACCGTCGTACACACTACATTTCATACATGCAGAGAAATGATAATTTACCAGAGTTTTTGGATGGTTAAGGTCAGGCTAAGTCCCACCCTCTGGGCTCCCAAGTTTGTTCTTGTTATCTATCCATCCATCTTCTTCCCCTTAATCCATCTCTGGGTCGGGGGTGGCAGTCAGCCCCAGCCCCTGATCCTCGTGCAGGAGCTGAGTCCACTGTTATTGTTAGTTAAATATGTTCTAAATCTGAATTATTGAGATACTGTGGGAAAGTTTGAGCTACACGACATGTACCAACAAAAAATATTCAATAAACAAAACCAAACAAAAGCAGAATCAGCCTCAGGGACCAAGGGCTCTGGTCCGAGCTCCTCCTGCAGGACCACATGGTCTATATCCACACGAAGACAAAACGCTTATAATTTCAGAAACTTTTTCTGTAAACACGGAGTTAGCTCAGTAAATGTGTGCGTCCATATGAATGTAGTCAATACGCCTGAAAACGCTGTGAAACTATGCCAGACCTGTTGGTGGCGCTGTGACGCAATGACGGGATCAAGCCCAAACTTCCGTGACGGGAACTGGGCATGCGCAGAATGTTGTAAACAGACAACATGGCGAGTGGGCGAGCTGGTACTACATTAGTATGGACGGACGATGAGGTTGAACTGTTGCTTCGGGTCACACTGGATTACAAAACCAACAAGCTACATTGTTGTTGTCATTATTTTCTGAGTGCGGCGCATGCTGCTTTAACAAGAGGCGGGGCGATGACGCGTCTCAGATACATTGCGGAGAGGCAGTAACCACGGAGCGGCATATACGGAGTTTTGAAATCTTTCCACTCTGGGACCTACTTTCAAAAATGTTCGTTTACACCCCCCCAAAACGCCGGCCTCGTATGGACGATACACTGGATTGATAAAGTATTTTTGCGTTTAGGCCTGAGCTTGACTTCGTGTGGACAGGGCCTGAGCATGCGTCACATGAGCAAAAACACATCCCACATCTGTCTCAAACCTGACTTAAGTTTCATATCCAGAAAATACTTTGCTCCAAATGAAGAGAGTGGGTGGAGAGTGGGTGGAGAGTGGGTGGCGACTGGGTGGAGAGTGGGTGGAGAGTGGGAGGAGAGTGGGAGGAGAGTGGGAGGAGAGTGGGTGGAGAGTGGGAGGAGAGTGGGAGGAGAAGTGGGTGGAGAAGTGGGTGGAGACTGGGTACAGAGTGGGAGGAGAGGGGGAGGAGAGTGGGTGCAGAGCATGGATCTATAATAATAACTGGATAGAGTATTACAGCTTACAGCTGTCCCACCCATGGCCACAGGGGGCGCTGTGGTACTGCAGACTAAATTCATGTGTTCTTCCCAGAAAAAAGTCCCATAGAACTCAATGTAAAGTAAAACAGACCACAGCTGACAGAGAACCTGACAGAGAACCTGACAGAGAACCTGACAGAACCTGACAGAGAACCTGACAGAACCTGACAGAGAACCTGACAGAACCTGACAGAGAACCTGACAGCTGTAGGTTCTCTTTCATAAAGATCAGATTTTGTGGGGGTGTTAGTGTCCCTTGTCGTCATGAACTCTTTCTTCTTAAATTCTTCGGTCTTCTTTAAATCCACACTTTACTGTCACAAACTCTGCTCCTTTCCTTCTCGCTCTGATCCGCTCCACCATATTTGCCGCAAAGCATCATGGGAGCTCGTCCACTGCACAGAACTGGGAGGACCAGACGATTTCCGCTAATCTCTCAGTCTCCGTGAAATCCCATGAACTACTGAGCACAAGCCATTCATTTGAACAGGACGCCATCTTGGATCAGCGGGGCTTGGTTCAGAGAGGGTGGAGAGTGGGTGGAGAGTGGGAGGAGTGGGTGGAGAGTGGGAGGAGTGGGTGGAGAGTGGGAGGAGTGGGTGGAGAGTGGGAGGAGTGGGTGGAGAGTGGGAGGAGAGTGGGAGGAGTATAGAGTGGGTGGAGAGTGGGAGGAGTGGGTGGAGAGTGGGAGGAGTGGGTGGAGAGTGGGAGGAGCGGGTGGAGAGCGGGTGGAGAGTGGGAGGAGTAGGTGGAGAGTGGGTGGAGAGTGGGAGGAGCGGGTGGAGAGCGGGTGGAGAGAGGGAGGAGTAGGTGGAGAGTGGGTGGAGAGTGGGAGGAGTGGGTGGAGAGCGGGTGGAGAGTGGGAGGAGTAGGTGGAGAGTGGGTGGAGAGTGGGAGGAGTGGGTGGAGAGCGGGTGGAGAGTGGGAGGAGTAGGTGGAGAGTGGGTGGAGAGTGGGAGGAGTGGGTGGAGAGTGGGTGGAGAGTGGGAGGAGTGGGTGGAGAGCGGGTGGAGAGTGGGAGGAGTGGGTGGAGAGCGGGTGGAGAGTGGGAGGAGTGGGTGGAGAGTGGGTGGAGAGTGGGAGGAGTGGGTGGAGAGAGAAGCATAAAAAGCATGTGTAGAGACAGATTTTCCTCTGGTTCCTCCTGAAACATGGAGCCAACAGTAAATGACCTGTGCTTCCCTTCGGCCAATCACTCGTGCAGGAAGATCCCACGCAGCCAATCAGAGGCCACCGCCGTCTACACCCTGCTGGCGGCCATCACTGTGGTCACGGTCCTTCTGAACCTCCTGGTCATAGTCTCCATACACCACTTCAGGCACTGCTGCTTTCTGCTCATTCTCTGTTTTTATTATTTTAAATGTATTTATTTTATAGAAACCTTTGATTCGTGCTTTTATGTGTGTTCTGTTGTTTGTCGGCTGCACATTAGGATTTAGAATTTGCATTGTGTATTTTATCATATACTAGTAATATGTGCATCCATGTTGTTATAACTTTCCTTATTCTAAAGTACTGCTTGAATTTTATTATTTGTATTTATTGACTTTACTTATTTTTTACAGAGTCTTAAGATTTTCCAAGTTTAGTTCTAGTTTCTTAATATTCTCACAAAAGAAGTAAAATCATCATTTCTGTGATAAAAAACGACAGTGCCACAAAGTAATTTAAACCAGAGATGAGTAATTATGATTAAAAACGGTTATTTTGTTCAGACCATGTTTTAACGTGTTCCAAGAGTTTTTATCCTTTTATTGATGCTAGAGTTAGAGATGTTTTATTAGTACAGCTCTTGTTCACTTGTGCTCCTCTTTCCTACTGGTCTGTAACTTGTGATGCAACACTGAAATTTCCCCACAGTGGGACTAAGAAAGGATCTCTTCATCTTAACTATTATTTTAGATTTTGTTTTATAATATTTAACATATATATATTTAACATGTGGCAGTGATTCTCACATTCTCAAACTCCCCTAAAAAAATCAATACTTACAAACTAATCTTTGAAATAACTAAAAACATTTATATCAGTTTAAATGTGTTTGTTTCAGCCTCTGGACAATCAGCTGTCAGTATTTAATAATAACACGTTTTCTAAAAAGATAAAGACAGAAGGTTGTGGACTTTTGTACATAATGTTAAAACAGAACAAAACGTATTTATCTGTATTTACAAAAGTTAGAGTTTTAATTCACTACAAACAGTCGCCACATTATAGACATTTACAAAGTACGTCTGTGTTTGTCCTGTAATATATGTTTGTGTTAAGTCCTGCAGATGTGTGTCTTTATCCCAAACCACTGGTTACATGAGTCTGTTGTGTGTCTGGTGTGTCTGTTGTGTGTCTGTTGTGTCTTGTGTGTCTGTTGTGTGTCAGTTGTGTGTCTGTTGTATGTCCGTTGTGTGTCTGTCGTGTGTTTGTTGTGCGTTGTGTGTCCGTTGTGTGTCTGTTGTGTGTCTGTTGTGCGTTGTGTGTCTGTTGTGTGTTGTGTGTCAGTTGTGTGTTGTGTGTCTGTTGTATGTCCGTTGTGTGTCTTGTGTGTCCGTTGTGTGTCTGTTGTGTGTTTGTTGTGCGTTGTGTGTCCGTTGTGTGTCTGTTGTGTGTCCGTTGTGTGTGTTGTGTGTCTGTTGTGCGTCTGTTGTGCGTTGTGTGTCTGTTGTGTGTTTGTTGTGCGTTGTGCGTCTGTTGTGTGTCTGTTGTGTGTCCGTTGTGTGTCTGTTGTGTGTGTGTTGTGTGTCTGTTGGTTGTGCGTCTGTTGTATGTTGTGTGTCTGTTGTGCGTCTGTTGTGTTGTGCGTCTGTTGTATGTTGTGTGTCCGTTGTGCGTCTGTTGTGCGTCAGTTGTGTGTTGTGCATCTGTTGTGCGTCGTGTGTCTGTTGTGTGTTGTGCGTCTGTTGTGTGTCCGTTGTGTGTCCGTTGTGCGTCTGTTGTGCGTCTGTTGTGTGTCTGTCGTGTGTCTGTCGTGCGTCTGTTGTGTGTGTTGTGTGTCTGTTGTGCGTCGGTTGTGTGTCGGTTGTGTGTTGTGCGTCTGTTGTGTGTTCGTTGTGTGTTTGTTGTGTGTCTGTTGTGTGTCTGTTGTATGTTGTGTGTCTGTTGTGTGTCTGTTGTGCGTCTGTTGTATGTTTTGCAGACAGCTCCACACCTGCACTAACCTCCTGCTCCTCTCTCTGGCCGTCTCTGACTTCCTGGTGGGTTTCCTCCAGATGCCCTTCCAGATGTTCTACTTCCAGGGCTGCTGGTTCCTGGGGGCCTTTGGGTGTGCGCTCAGTAACTTCACCAGTTTTCTAGTGACCAGCGCCTCAGTTGGAAACATGGTCCTTATCTCTGTGGATCGTTACGTGGCCATTTGTGACCCTCTGCTGTACTCGAGTAAAGTAACTGTAACCCGTGTGAAACTTTGCATTTTCCTGTGTTGGGTTTTCTCGTCCGTGCACTCGGTTTGGATCCTCCGAGACTTGCTTAGGGAACCGGACATTTATAATTCATGCGCTGGAGAGTGTGTGCTTGTCTTTGTGACCCAGGCCGAGGGGGTTGTGGATTTTGTAGCGACCTTTTTGGCGCCTTTAGTTGTGATTACATATTTATACCTGAGAGTGTTCATGGTCGCTGTGTCCCAGGCTCGAGCGATGAGATCTACCGTGAGGCCGGTCGCAGTCACAGTGCAGAAGAATGAGATGAAAGCTGCTAAAACTCTGGGCCTTCTGGTGGTTGTGTTTCTCCTTTTCTGTTTTCCATATTATTGTTTTGTGATATCTGCAGACAGCATCCTGTTCGGGGCTTCGTCTGGAGATGCTGAACTCTGGCTGCTTTACTTTAACTCATGTATTAATCCAATCATCTACGTGTTCTGCTATCCCTGGTTCAGAAAAACTGTCAAACTCATCTTGACTTTTGAGATATTCAAGACGGACTCGTGTCAAGCCAAAGTACTGTGAAATACATGTGGTCTAAAGATACACAATGTACTGTTATCCTCTCTAATTCAAGTATGACACTTTCACAGATTTGTTACAGACCTCTACCTTTCAGCAGCACATAAATACTAGTGGTTAAACTGGTCCAGACCAGATGAAACATATTTTATAGTTGGAGAAATGTAACACCTTAATCTCACTGAAAAGACTACACCAATGTTCAAGTGCAGTATCTGTCCACTGGGGGGCAGTACAGTCAAACTAACCCTCAGACTCTTGAGCCCTGTTACATGGATAGAACTCTCCCGTTGTGCCACATTCTCTTTGATCAATGTTTGACAAATGTGTTTTTTCTGTACATCTCTCAGACCAGCCCTGACTCCATCTCTTCCATGATGAGAAACAGAAACAGAGTCATGTACGACAAGAGCTCTCTTTCACAGAATAAACCAAGACAGTAAAGAGTTTATGCTCAACATGAGTCTGAATGAACCGTCCGTCCACTCGACCTGATCTGTTTCACTAAAGCACAGACACAGATCTTTGACACAGAATGAAACAAGAACAAACGTGAATATTCTAAAAGGACCTTAGGACCTATAATAATATATGTTTTATAGAACTGCTACATTTGGTGAAGGTTAAGATAAAGAAGTGTGTTCCAGTTCAAGAGGTTTTTAATTGCAGCTTTGAAACAGAACAGACTGATGTTCACAGAATAAAACCAGTGTCAATGACAACAACTGAGGAACAAAGCCACACTGAGGATGTTTGAAGAATCAACACTGAACAATAAATCTGATCAAATCTGAATGAATCAGAATTCTTTTATTATTCTTTTATTGCCACTGAAAGTCCCAGACTAGGAATTTGTTTTTATATAAAGTGGAAACAAGTAGTAAAAAGGAACATTATGTTTCAAATTAATATTTATTTTAACAGATTTGTGTCACATTTGAGAAAGACAGAAGATGAAAGAGTCGTATCTGTAACCTCTGTCAAACCCAGCAGCTCCAGTCGTCCTGAGATTATACGCTTCATGGAACTCTCAGTAACTCCACAGTTTCTATGGAAGAGTTTTCTGCAGTGGAAGTCAAAGCCAGAAGGAGCCGTGAATCACAGCCTGCATATGGACACGAGTGAAGTGCTGCTGCTGCGACGCTCTCAGAGGACCTCAGAGGACCTCAGAGGACCTCAGAGGACCTCAGAGGACCAGGCACTCAGAGGACCAGGCACTCAGAGGACCTCAGAGGACCAGGCGTCTGACGAATGTGTCATCACATTCGGACATAAGGTACAGTAAAGTACAACACAGCTTCCTGTTTCTGTATATTTAAATCTGCAGTTCCACTGAAGGCGACAGTTGAATCTTGAATCCTTCTACACATCCCGACGCCGTGGAGCTGAAGAGCTGTGAGAATATAACCTGTAGCTCTGAGTACGGAGTCTAAGGGTGTGAAACAAAGCTTCCTGGACGGACACCATCCTCCAGGCTCTTTTTCTACTTCTCACATTTAGATCCAATCTGCTAACACACCACTCATCCCTCCCCCTCTCACACCTCCGCGGTCTCACCGGGTTCACTGCCCACTTTAGGCTGAGAATAGGTTGGATTTTAGCAAAGCATTTCCCAAAATGACAGGATCTGTATCTTCCTCCAAATGATGTAAACGTTATCAGGATGTATTTTTCATTTTCATAACTTCACAAATCTACTATTCATTCACCGTTTCATTTTAGGGGCGACAGTAGCTCAGTTGGTAGAGCAAGGTTGTGGGTTCAAGCCCATCACGGGACCTACTACAACTGCTCCCACTAATGTCTGCTGTCGTCGTGTCCTTGGGCAAGACACTTAACCCCACTTTGCCTGAAGCTCCCGCTGAAACACCAAGGCTGACTTCTGACTGATGTAGCAGCCATGTTCCTGTGGACTCACCCCCTGCAGAGGATCAGAGGGACTGGTGCTATGAGCATTGGGTGCAGCTCTGACTGTCACCTCCAACCCAGAAATGGATTCATAAAAGAGTAAGAAAATGAATGAATGACTTATTTTAAGCCAATCCAAACAGTGGATGTTAGATTGACTGTTCTGTTTTTCTGATGGTCAGCATGTGAACTGTTTGTTATTCACAGATGTTACTAAATCCTCTCAATAATAGATTGAAGAGCTGGTATAAACTCTGTCTAAAACCTGTTCAAAGTTAATGCCATTATCGATAAGAACAGGGTGTCGGTCCAGGCCCTGTCATGTGGACATCCAGGTTATGGATCATGGCGTCTGAGGTAAAGTCATAGGTTCAGAGTTTGGCCAAGCGTGGTTGCCAGGTAAGCAGGCAGTAAATGAATGGCTTCTGACATAATGAACACAGCTCGATACTGTTTACTCAGACCGTGGGCGTCAAGCCATTTCATTTTATAAAAGGAGGCAGTATGTGGTCAATTAATTTATGGGCTGTCAGTGTGTAGTTAACAGGGAACAACAGGAGCCGCTGTTTTTCAGGATATAAATATTCACGTATGCTTCATTTGTTCCACAAATACCTCTTGACATTTAGTAGAAATGAGTTTCACAGCGGATTTTCCTTATCACAAAAAAATAAAAGTAAAACTTCCAGTAAAGTTTTAGCACGACACTTCTACAGATGCATCACTAAACGACACGGTGGCTGAGTGGTTAGCACTCTCGCCTCTCAGCAGGAAGGTCCTGGGTTCGAATCCCGGTCGGAACAGGGCCTTTCTGAGTGGTGTTTTCATGTTCTCCCCGTGTCTGCGTCGGTTTCCTCCAGGTGCTCCGGTTTCCCCTACCACTAAAAACATGTACAATAGGTCTGTGCCTCCTGTACTGGCCCCTCCAATCTCTGTGTGGAGTCAGAGACTAATGTAACAGCTGTAAACCGGTTTGACTCTGGTCTGAGAAAGGTCTATATCAATATATTTATATAGACCTAACTACTAAACTATGACACCTTTGTGGACATGCAAATACAACACATATTACCAAAGTGTGTACTCGGGTACACGCTGCAGTGTACTCGGGTACACGCTCCAGTGTACTCGGGTACAGAGTTTGGCTTTCCTGTTTGTGTCGTGAAAAATAAAATAATACACACTGTATCCAATGGTAAGATATATTTTACATTGTATTTCTTTATGGTAAGCAGTCACTCACAAAGTACCATAAAGAAACACAGTACTAAATTCATCAAATAAATCTAAAACACCCATAATAAACTATTACACTGTTACACTGTCACTCTGTATCCAGGGTTACCCCCCATTATACAGTAATGGGGGGTAACCCTGTCTATTGTATATTTATCATGTATTCTAACCACATTAGTTCACTGTGTTTGGCCCGACCTCAGCTGCAGATCCAGGAAACAAAGTAATAACAGACATCGCACTCACTCAGCGCTCTCTGATCTTATGATTCTGAGACATCACCTGAGACTCTTCTTCCTGCTCCTCCCACTGCTCCCAGATACAGACCGGGCACTTTGAAGACACGTATAGAACCCAGGCTTATGCTGACAGTGAAGGGGAGGTCTGTAGACTCTCAGTGCAATGAGAACTAACACTTTAATACCATGATATATACAGTCATGTCAAAAGAGAAAAGAGTTTGACTCCTGTGTCATTACTGAAAAGTCTAATGAATCTGCCACATGTAATTAAGTCCTGGTGATGAATACCTCAGAAAAGCAACTGTGGAAGTAAAAGACCTTGTCATTTCAAATGAAAATAGTCAATATAAATGAAGTAATTTAAATCCTAGAAGAAGAGGTTTCTGAACCGAGTGACACCACACCATTAAAAAGATATGTTTGATTATTGAAAAGTCATTGGTTAGTCACTGATATTTGTTGATATTTGCTGGATGTTGGATAATCTGTCCAAAACTAAACACAGAAGTGAGACTTTTCCACATGACGGCAGTGAACACAGTAAAACACACAGATGTGGACAGTTAGAGGGCATGGAAAGTGCATGGTTTCCACATTTGTCTTCTCCCACCGAGCGCTTGTGGTCGTTTCAAAGTGATTTATGTGGGGCTAAATTTCTCGACACATCCACTTTCTCTTCCTCAGGCGTTATCAAAATGTTACAAAGTGAAATGGGAACGGCAGGCCCCAGGGGTTCTCACTGGAGCCGCTTTGATTCACCTTTTCTACAAATATTCTTTGCAGATCTTACTACAGAGGAATCCCCACTTTGAGGCATTTAACAAAGGTTTGAGCAGTTTGAACAAACAACTGAGTTTGTGCTGCATCAGCAAAATAATACACTGGAGGAACATTAGTACATGTTTGTTTTAGTTTCCAATTCAAACGACTTTATTCTGCTTTAACTTTGCACCGAGAGCCAAAGCAGTTTCTTAGTTTGTGACTTCCTGTTACTCACATGGCAATAAAATGATTCATTTAAACAACAATCAAGTTTCCAAAGTGCTGCACAAACAAGTAAAATAAATGCACATGATACTTATCTTTAGTTCCACTAAGTATGAAACAACAAACGATGTTGGGTCATAGTATTGATAGGATAATACAGTATGTGCCGTTATGGAGCAAAACAAGGTATTTTCTCTCAGTTATTGAGGCTTCAGAGGCCGGCTGTCAATCATCTGTCGAGGTGATTGTATTTTAAAAAGGGCATACTGTCTGCAGATGAAGGACTTCCTTTGAGCATAGGGCCCACACAGTCCCCCTGGAGCCCACGAGGGCCTGACTTTGCCTGGTCTCCCCCTGGACTGGTCCTATAAACTGTGAATGTGCCTCATTTGGAGAAGGCTGCATTAGTGCTGCAGCTGCGGCCGTGTCCTTCAGACCCTTTTCTTACACACCACAGGCTCAGGCCAGTTTCAGAAGCTAAGGCTGCAAGCTACACAATGTATATGAATATGTTTAAAACTGACAAACTGTCTAAAGTTTAACTGTATCGTGCCGGTCCTTCAACATGAGGTGATGGTTGTTCATGAATGGCACAGCAAAGGGCCTAAGGATAGTCATGTACCTGTGTTCATGTCCATTATATGCCTAGACAGCGCATGACGTTGTCCACATGGTCCACATGGTCCACATGGTCCACATGACTGACACTAACAAAGCGCTCTCCACATAACGACACAGTTCGTCTGCCCTGAACAGTGAAAACCAAGATTCATCCTAAAAACGTCCCCGTTCTTGCAGGTCCAGCAGTGCTCAGACACATCACCAATTCATGCCTGATGTATATTTGCAAACGTTCAGCATCGAAGACGAGGGGACCAACATTCTACTGGACACTCTGAAGATGTTTCAATGTTTGAGGCAAATACTGATCACACCTGATTCTGACTCCCCCAGACCTGCTAAAGGCACGGACCGTCTTAGACCGTGGTCAGAGACCTGTGCTGTATTAGAGTCCTCCAGTGGGGTTAGGGTCAGACAGGTCCTCCAGTGGGTTAGGGTCAGGCAGGCCCTCCAGTGGGTTAGGGTCAGACAGGTCCTCCAGTGGGTTAGGGTCAGACAGGTCCTCCAGTGGGTTAGGGTCAGACAGGTCCTCCAGTGGGTTAGGGTCAGGCAGGTCCTCCAGTGGGTTAGGGTCAGACCCTAACCCACTCCAGTGGGTTAGGGTCAGACAGGTCCTCCAGTGGGTTAGGATCAGGCAGGTCCTCCAGTGGGGTTAGGATCAGGCAGGTCCTCCAGTGGGTTAGGGTCAGACAGGTCCTCCAGTGGGTTAGGGTCAGGCAGGAGGCAGGTCTTCCAGTGGGGTTAGGGTCAGGCAGGTCCTCCAGTGGGGTTAGGGTCAGACAGGTCCTCCAGTGGGTTAGGGTCAGACAGGTCCTCCAGTGAGTTAGGGTCAGACAGGTCCTCCAGTGGGTTAGGGTCAGACAGGTCCTCCAGTGGGGTTAGGGTCAGACAGGTCCTCCAGTGGGTTAGGGTCAGACAGGTCCTCCAGTGGGTTAGGGTCAGGCAGGCCCTCCAGTGGGGTTAGGGTCAGACAGGTCCTCCAGTGAGTTAGGGTCAGACAGGTCCTCCAGTGGGTTAGGGTCAGACAGGTCCTCCAGTGGGTTAGGGTCAGACAGGTCCTCCAGTGGGTTAGGGTCAGACAGGTCCTCCAGTGGGTTAGGGTCAGACAGGTCCTCCAGTGGGTTAGGGTCAGACAGGTCCTCCAGTGGGTTAGGGTCAGGCAGGTCCTCCAGTGGGGTTAGGGTCAGACAGGTCCTCCAGTGGGTTAGGGTCAGACAGGTCCTCCAGTGGGCTAGGGTCAGGCAGGTCCTCCAGTGGGTTAGGGTCAGACAGGTCCTCCAGTGGGTTAGGGTCAGGCAGGTCCTCCAGTGGGTTAGGGTCAGGCAGGTCCTCCAGTGGGTTAGGGTCAGACAGGTCCTCCAGTGGGTTAGGGTCAGACAGGTCCTCCAGTGAGTTAGGGTCAGACAGGTCCTCCAGTGGGTTAGGGTCAGGCAGGTCCTCCAGTGGGTTAGGGTCAGGCAGGTCGTCCAGTGGGTTAGGGTCAGGCAGGTCGTCCAGTGGGTTAGGGTTCAGACATGATTATGAGCAAGATACAGATGCGTCTATTGAACTGGTGAGTTTTATATTTTTAAAAGGAACAATATGTAAAAATCTGGCCAATGGTGGTACTGCAGTCACAGTCAGTATTGTGTAGTCCTCTCCCACTCTCCCTGACTCAGGTTGCCAGATACACACCAAATCCAGCAGCAAACACAGGGAATTATTTTATCAGTCGTTTGTCTCCATTCACATTGCCATGAGCCGAGCTAATGTTGAATACACTTTTTTTTTTTTTTTTTTTGGATATTTGAGATCAGAAAAACAAAATAAAAGCAATGTAATGATAGATTATGCAAAATAAATAAGCAATTGATGTCCAAAATAGGAGTGGGAAGAATGGATGTTGGAACGTGTTTCTTCAGCGTATCAACCTCAGGGTTTGCTCCAGAGGATATACCCCTTTTATTTATTCCCTATTTTTAAGACAAGTCCCACATCAAACAGAGACAAACATTTTAATTGGGTACATGTGGCCTCAAATGATTCTTTCTACAATTAAGCTTTAATCTGCAAAAAACGTCTTAATTATTGTCTTTTAACTGATTTTTTGCAATCTGTCACAAAATGTAAGGTTATGCAAAGTGATTCAACCCTGATTCGACCCAGAGTCACTGGCTCCAAAGCCCTGTGTCTGAACCATTAGGCCACCGTTGCACATGATAAATACTTCGATCAAGTTTTCCATCACACAAAAACTTGTCTCCGCTGTCTCAATTGTCTCGATATAAATCCTCGATTTAGTCTTTGCTTTGTCATTAATGATTTTAGAGTTATAACAAGACCTTTTTAGTTCTGCGGCCACATGTTATTTTACCTCTGAGATTAGCCGTGAGGAGTTCTGGCAACCCGGATCAGACTTCCTGATTGGCTCAACAGCGGCGGGTAGGACATCAAAATCAAAACAATAACATCTTTTACGGGCTGTAAAACTAATTTTGATTTTAAAATATCTCTGAACTACTGTTATCAGTTAAAGATGTATTTGAAAAGAGCATGATTGAATAATGCCTTTTGAAACATTGGGGCCATATAATGACTTGACATGAAAATATTATACCGCTACTTTAAGTTTAAATTATGACAAATTAAAGCCAGAACTAAAGTGCTCCAGTCGTATTTCTGTTCTACATCTTCATGATTAAATGTTATGTACTGTAGGTGGCGCTAAAGATCAACTGCAGCCTGCTCCTGTTCACCCCAAACAGATGATTTCCTGAACTAAATTGAATATACTGTATCCTTCTGTTCTCAGTCATGGACCCCTTCAAGTCTGTCAACACCCACATTATCCACATTATATCGCCTTCATTTTTCTAATAACTGAAAATCTACAGCCCTGTTTGCTTTTCATCACAACAATGGAAAGCTTACTGCTCCAACAAAATAGAAAACCTCATATGTGCAGAGATCCTGAGGGATTTACAGCCTTGTTCTGGTGAGTCAGAAGGAACAAGCGGAACCGAAAACAGACATGGATTCTTCTCTTTGCTGTTCTCTCTGCAGCGATCCTCATGTTCACAGCTATTTTTACATGTTCAGTCCTGTCATGAAAGCTCTTCAGCTCCGTCAGCCGCTTCCTCCGAGCGGCTGGGAACTTTGTACAGTGCAGACCAACTGAATAACATGTATATAATATAATCATCCAGCTCTACTGGATATCATGTACAGTAATTATATATCATCCAGCTCATAGTGTCTTTCAGAACGCGACTCAAAACCGTCTAAATGACAAACAAGCAAAACAATGAATGAACGACCTGTTGAATACCTAATAATAATAATAATAATTATAGACAAAAGGGATTATTGTCTCAGTGCTAGTCATTAGGAGCAGCTCGCTTGTTGCCGAAAAGATGATACTGCTTTGTTTGCAATCGACCTCAAGGGCGGCACGGTGGCTGAGTGGATAGCACTCTCGCCTTTCAGCAAGAAGGTCCTGGGTTCGAATCCCGGTTGGACCAGGGCCTTTCTGAGTGGAGTTTGCATGTTCTCCCCGTGTCTGCGTAGGTTTCCTCCGGGTGCTCCGGTTTCCCCTACCACTAAAAATATGTACAATAGTTCTAGCATGTGCCTCCTGTACTGGCCCCACTCCCAAAAATAACAATTGTAAACCGCTTTGAGACTCCAATGTGCAGTGAAAAGGCGGTATATAAATAAAGATTACTTATTACTACTAACCTCAGTGAAATGAAACATGTACAACATCTTATATAATCTGACTCTTAAGTGCAAGTACTCTCTTGTCTCCAGCAAAGATAAAGGCGTTACTCGTGCAGCAGAACATTCAAAACACTAACATTTAGTTTAGTGTTTAAAGGTGTTTTAGTGGCGTTTTGGTTCTCTCTGCAGCGTTCCGAAGAGAGTGGTCAGTACAACAGGACCTGAGAGAAACTGGACTAAAGCGTTTGAAGGCTTTGACACAGGCCTGCTGACGCACAGGGAGACTGGACAGTGATGAATGACGCTTTAAGAACCACGTTCAGGTCTTTCAACAGCTCTGTAGTTTAGGTTCAGTGTTTTTAACACAATCTCAGCAGCCGTTCTGTAAAACTTTAACTTAACTTTTCAGTGTCATCTTGAAGTGACTTGTGAACCCTCAGAGGCATATTCTCACCTTTTACTCCTGTGTCCTTTGAATTATAAACATTCTATCTTTCTGTTTGGAGACTGAGGATGAGTGAGCTGTAGATACATCAGATAATCATCTCACTCAGGACCTCTTTGCTGTGACGCACATGTGGTAACCCCTGCACCCAGTTCACTGATCCTCCAGCCTCCATCTGCGGGGGCTTCAGGCAAAGTGGGGTTAAGTGTCTTGCCCAAGTACACAACAACAGCAGACATGAGTGGGTCTCAGCCACTGAAGGGCATTGGCCAAAATGTCAGTCCCACATCACTCACTGTAGTTTGTGAGCATGTAAACAACTGTTTATATAACTGTATGAATCCGAGGCTAACAGGTCTGTAGTTAGCATTCCACAGGGTCTCTGTCCTTTTTATGAGTAAGTGTGATTCTGGAGTGAGGAACCTTCCCTCAAGAAATCATGTTAAATGTTTTTAGAATCTTTGGACTCAGCTTTCGTCACATTTCTGACCAGAATAGCCTTTTTTACTTCTAATGTCACTGGGTTTGCTTTGTCTTTCAGACTTTTGGGAGATTCTGTCACGGGGTGGGAAGGAGGAGGACTCAAAATGCAGGAATGCCAAAATAATGGTTTAATGAAATAAAGTCCAAAGTGAAAATAAAACTCAAAATCCAAAATACAGAACAAGGAACACGAAATCAGAAACAGGACGGAACAGGGCCTTTCTGAGTGGAGTTTGCATGTTCTCCCCGTGAGGGAGTGAATGATGGTGTTGGGTCAGAGGTTTTGATGGTCCAGTGTGTTCTGGACTCGCTTCTGTCATCACCGTGTGTGGAAGGATTGGAACAATATCTGACTCTGAACATTGGAAAGAACTTTGGGTCTGTACCTTTGGGTCTATACCTTGGTCTGTACATGTGCTATATAAATAAACATTACTTACTCATCCGTGACTATTTTAGTAAAGATTTGGTTGTTTGTTCATTATTGTAGTAATTTAGTAATTATTGAAACTAAATGATAAGTAAGTGTCAGTTTCAGACACAGAACATTTATCAGGACTTTAAATATGTTTGACTTTTCAATGCTTTTGGAGTCACATGGGAAGTTTTTAAACTTTGGAACCAATCACGCCACAGAATGTGATCTTGTCGGAGTTGAACAGAAAGTAATATTGTAGAAACTAAAAGATCTTCCGCCCTCACTGAAGATGAAACTATCTTTATTATTCATTATTTCATGTCTAAATCAAATATCTTTCTAAGCATCAGAGCGACGCAGAATTAAACTACTGCATTGTTCCCTGTGCCATCAAAGTGACAGCCTATTCATCTATTTTTACTTTAATGATGATAATATTAAAGAATAGTTTTCCAGGGTTTAGACAGAGACAATAATGACAATGTTGAGGTTGGAATATGGAAACGAGAGAATGAACTCGGAGCAGGTCTTTCTCCCCCACACATCTTGAATAAAGACTGCAGTGTGAAAACTTTGGGAAGTGTGACTGGTCCGTCTGAGGAACTTATTAAAAAGCGGTGTGCAGATGCATGTTCTCCGTGGGATGGAGCTTCAAACCTGCGGCGCTCCTGGTACTTCCTGCTGCAGTGGCGTCTGTCACGGCTCCACGGCCCACGCCCCATCCCTCATTACCTCCACTGGAACACGGTCAGAGTGACGCGAGCTGGAGCCTCCCAGCTTGTTATTCTCACAGCGGTCCTCCCTCAGCTTTCTCTGCCTCCTGCTGGTTTCTTTTGCATATGTCACACCAGGGGCCACTTGCAAAAACACACTTATTTCTGTTTCGTTAGTGTCAAAAGCACTTTCAATGGTTTTATTGTGACGCAAAGAGGTTTTAGGGAGGAGCCAATATGAACATTTTGGCCGATATTGATATCCGATATTCATTTTTCTGTTATGACCGATAATTGCACATTTTGACATGTGTTTTTAAAAGAACTATTTTCAAAATGTATTTTATTTTCGTTAGAATCAGCGAAAAGCACCACACACTGGAGCTGTTCGTGGCTTACTATTGCTCTTATTTTGAGTGAAAACTATTTTTGATGCAGCGAATGTAGAAGTTATAAAAAGAGTAATGGATATAAATTCAGTAAAACTAGAAAAGATTAAATAGTCACCAATAATAATTTACAGGACATTAAAGAACGAGATAAATATAGTTTAAAACAGTATAAAAAGTTGTAAATTTCATGGTGGTTCTGTGATCGTGTATCCATTAGTAAGCCTGAGCATGGATGGAGCGATTGGTTTTTCCTGCACCGGCGAAGAGCGCAGGCAAAAAACTCTTACAAGAGAAACTCGTCCACGTCGAGGTTTCTCTCCTTATTTCAGGATGAAACTCGAACGCTGCTCAGTGTGAACGAGTCCAATGTTTTCAACAATGAGGATTAAGGCTGTTACCGTGACGACAGCACTCTGGGATCAATAGAACCACGTTCAAGACACTTCTGATCAATAATACCATAAATATTAACAAATGTTACTTTTAACAACATTTGAGGCGAGAAATGTGACTGTCATTTCACTGATTTGTTGAGCAGTAAATACAAAGTTGACCGAGTTCCTTTTTAGGAACAGAAGAAATGGAAAGTGGAAAATCCTGTTCCTTATTATTCCTCTTCTTATTTAAATGGTTTTATTGTTTATCTCTGTGTCTCCCAAAGTGAGGTTCGCGGCCCTCTGGTGGGCTGAGAGGGTATTGCAGGGGGGCCATGAGAGGTCATAAAAAAAGTTTTATACAATTATTGTATATTAAATTAATAATTTTGTGTTTGTAATATTATTATGTGTTCATTATTTGACTTGAATAATCAAATTGTAATCATTTTTGTATAACAAAATGGGGTGTGTCATTTACATGTTTGTAGCAGAGGCTGTTTCCCCCAAATAAAATAACGAGAACAGTCTATTTTTAACGTTGTCTTGGTTGTTCTTCCGGGGCCGCGCAGACCCGTCAGATTTTTAAGGATTTTAAGTGTTACTGACTTTGGGAATGGCTGGTTTATCTAAATAGAATTGGTCCTCAGTGATTCTAGTGTACGATGGTGTGTCTCAGACAAAGTCCGCCGAGGTCGTTCCTGAATTCTTTTTTATTTTCCGTTGAAACATGTGACGTTAGAAACATTGCTTTACTCACAATTGTCTGAAAGAAAAAGAAATAACCTTCCTAATCTGTGGAAATTGTCATTTTTCACAGATATTTTAGATATTAATTTTGACATGTATTTTTGAGAAATGAATCCAACTTCCTGAACACAGTGCGACAAACTACATCCATTTAATGATTAAGATCAAAACCACGGGTAGAAGTCGGGCCAAGTCAGATCACATTTTTGGGCTGTTTTCAAAGTGTCATAAACATGAATCACAGAAGAGCAGGATATATCTCCTTTCATTTCACAGGAAATAACCCAAAATATTCACACAAGACACAGGAGAGGGGTTCTGTGAATCTGACAGACTGTAGGTGTGTGTGCGTAAGTGTGTGTCTCTGTGTGTGTGTGCGTGTGTGTCTAAGTGTGTGCATGTAAGTGTGTCTGTAAGTGTGTGCGTGTAAGTGTGTGTGTGTAAGTGTGTGTGTGTTTGTATGTGTGTGTCTGTGTGTGCGTAAGTGTGTGTGTGTCTGTTTGTGGGTGTGCTTGTAAGTGTGTGTGTCTGTGCAAGCATGTGTGTGTGCAAGTATGTGTGTGTGTGTGTGTGTGTGTGTGTGAGGGTGTTTGTACGTGTAAGTGTGTGTGTGTGCGTGTGTGTGTATGAGCTGCGTGTGTTTGTGTGTGCGTTTGTAAGAGTGTGCGTGTAAGTGTGTCTGTTTGTGTGTGTGTCTGTGCAAGCATGTGTGTGTGTGCGGGTATGTGTGTGTTTGTGTGTATAAGAGCGTGTGTGTGTATATGTGAGGGTGTTTGTACGTGTAAGTGTGTGTGCATGCGTGCGTGCGTGAATGAGCTGCGTGTGTGTCTGTCTGTGTGCGTGTGTGTGTGTCTGCATGTGAGCTGTGCGTGTGTCTGAGTGTGTGTGTATGGGAGCGTTTGTGTGTTTTTGTGAGTGTTGTGTAAGCTGCAGTCTGAATGTTGTGAACCAAGATAAAACCAGGTGAGTTGACAAAACCAAAGTACTCGAGTAGATTTTAAGCTTGTTCTTTGTCAAAGCTTTTGAAGCATAAACAGTGGTGTGGAGCATGTTTCTTCACACACTCCTCGACAAGTCTCCTGTTTGTGTGAGTCGTCGATCACAAAAAGGCCATGATTGCAAAAGGCTGCACTTTGTGGCGATTGTAGAAGTGTGCAGCGATTGGCCTTTAAACAGGAGGAGCTGCAGGTTTCTCATTTCTCACAGAAAATAACCAGACAATATGAAAAACGATGCCGCCTGAATAATGTTTTTATAAGAACAGCGCAGCGTATGCGGAGATTGCTTTTTATTTTATGAAATGTGGAGGTGCGTTATTCAGAACAAACAGATTGGCGCCCGCATCCGTCGGCTGGATATTGTTCATAAAAGAGAGATTACAGGATCACAGGGATCAGTAGGAGACAAAATGAGAGCTACAGGGACTGACGTTAAACACTTTCATGAAAGGCGTCTCATCGTCGTTACACATATGTAACTACGATCAGTTTTATTTATTATTTTAACCCATTCCACTTCATTTATACTGCACATTCTATAAACAATACTGAGCAAAAAAGAAAAGTCAAAAACAGATTCCATACATTAACTGTGAAGTGACCGACTTCAGTGTTTTTGTTTTGAACCAAAACTTAGCCGTATTGTGGAAGAGTGAAGTATATGTATAAACCATATTTATAGCATATACAAGATAAATAATGATACTAATGATTATAAATTATATAAAGTCTGTTTTATTTTTATGTTTCAGTTCTTATTTTACTTCGATCAAAGAAAAGGGGAAATGTATTTTCTGTAGGACTGCAACTTCAGGAAGTGAAAGTGAAAACAATGACATAAAAACTTGTGTAATCTAAGAATTTATCCAGAGTCTTTAGTTTACAGTGTTGTAGCACTAATGAGCTCAATTTACGAGGAGCTTAATGGGAGAAAAGTATTTCTTTGATATTCTCTGATTTGAGGCTACACATACAGATTATAATAATTGTTAAAGGGACGCAGCTGAACTAATTGTAGAATGATTTAAAGTGAATGCAGAGCTGAATACGGAGCCTGTGGAGGTCCTTCTGAACAGACCTCATGTGAGACTGGTCTGAAACTCTTCAACACAGTTTAATTACATCATTTTTGTTAGACCCACAATGGCTCTCAGAGGATCATTTTAACATAATAGCAGGACCAATGTGAAAGCAGAGCTCATTACTGCAGGATTGATCCTCTTGTGCTGCCGTGCACTGAAGCCAACACCAATCTCTGCTAACACCAAAACACGTCACCACAAGTCTCTGAAAACTGTTCAGAAGAATCCACAGCGTCTGTCACAGGCCGCAAAGGAACAGACTGAATGTGGACGATCCACAGAAGAGGAAAATCTGTCCTGGACTCGAGTGTTTATGCCAAACCAATGAAAGTCTCCGACATGTACGAGTTGATCTTCTGTTACAGGATTTCCGATCGTACAAATGTACAGTAACGCTCGCCCCAAAGAGGAGACAAACATGACTGTGTTAGAGTTGGAGCCTTTCAGAAAGTGTTTTATGAATGTGCCGTGGGTTGCATCATCAACTGTCTGCACTAACTTCCATCTTTTGGCATCACCTCTGATTCTTTGAGATCTCGCTCACTAACAATACTCTCTCCTTCTCCTCAAACCCTTGTCACATACAGAAAAGAATAAATGATAGCTCCTGGTGGAAGCTTCGAGGAATACAAGCCCTGATCAAAGTGCAAAACCCCGAACACAAAGCCACAGACGCTGATGCATACGGAGCTGAAGGGCGGTGTCGGAGCGAGAGGACTGACAGATTGAAACGCCAAGACCGATCCAGGCATTTACTGGCAGCACAGAAAGATGTCACTATTCTTCTCCCTGCTCCTGGATGCTGCAGGGGGAGAGTATTCGCCGAGGTTTGTCTGAAGCCACAGCAGCACTCAATCTATTTTCTAAACCCCTGAAGCTCAAAGCAATGAAAAGCCTTTGAGATGAACAAGACACTGCCGATGCCAGTGTGGTGCCGTGTTGAGCTTCTCTCGGCTGATATTGCAGAACCCAGAACAATGCTTGGTTGGTTTTACAGTCACGTTTGTGCATCCGTCCGAGCAGAAATAATGAAGAGTAAATGATGTCTTCTTGTGTTTGTTTTTCTACACTACAGCGACAGAGGGAAATGTTTGCGGGTCAATAGACCTCAGCTGGAGGGAACAAAAGAAAGTGTGTGTTATGCAATGTAATGTTTTCACTGCGGATTCTTCAGAAACCCTCTGCCCCCGACTTCACCGAGAAGAATGACCACATCTTTGAAAAATGAAACCATCCCTAATGACACACACACACACGTCCAGGACACTGACGACATATGATATATTAATATTTACAAATACAATAAAAATTAAACAAAAACTAACCTCCTGGTCTCTTGGACCTGGTGCTGTATTAGCTCCTGGACCTGGTCTCCTGGACCAGGTGCTGTATTAGCTCCTGGACCTGGTCTCCTGGACCAGGTGCTGTATTAGCTCCTGGACCTGGTCTCCTGGACCAGGTGCTGTATTAGCTCCTGGTCTCCTGGACCAGGTGCTGTATTAGCTCCTGGTCTCCTGGACCTGGTGCTGTATTAGCTCCTGGACCTGGTCTCCTGGACCTGGTGCTGTATTAGCTCCTGGTCTCCTGGACCTGGTGCTGTATTAGCTCCTGGTCTCCTGGACCAGGTGTGACCATCTTCTTTATTTATTTGAAGCAGAACTTTTTCAAGTTCTTTTTTTGACAAGGTGAAAGTTTTACAGAAATTGTGTCTTTAACAAAAGTCTCACAGATCACTGTGGACTCAGGAGCCAAACCCTGTTGGACTCTTGTTCTGTTTCCCATGATGCACCTGCAGCACACACCGAATGCAATCAGAAGCAGCAGCAATCTGAGAGCCACCGTTTTACACAGTTTTAGTTTTACACATTAACAGTAAGTGCAGAGAGACGCTGCGCTGGAGGAAACCATTTCAACACTTTCCAAGAAGACCTTCACTGAACCACAAAGGCCTGGATCAGAACAGCTCAGGTGAGTCGCTAATTCATTTGTCAGTCAGCATATTACGAGGTGCTAATTACTAATTACTTTTTACTATTAACATTTCCATGTGCTTTGATCAGCTTTAGGACAAACGTGGATCCTTCTGTACAAATCAAGGATGAACATAAGATAAGAATTAAAGATAAACTTTGTTCATCTCACAATAAAGACATTAACATGTCAGACAGAAGTGTGAAACATAATATACTGTATGTTAATATATATATAATAACACATGTGCTAGTGTTCATGTGAAAATGCTTTTAGAGCAATAACGTTTGTAGGACTTCAAAGGTGAAAGAGAAGCTTCAGTTCTGCTCTCAAACCAAACCTCAACAATCTTTACTTTAAAAACAGTTTCTCATTATTGCAGCGTGACCAGTGATGATAAAGTCTGTGATATTGTGACTGAAGCAGTTTTCTTATCTGTCTATAAAAACACAGAGCCGGGCAGACACTTTGCGGTTGTTAAAACCCTGCGACCTTGTGCTCGGCGTGAACGCGATCTCTCCGCTGGGACGTTAAATAAACACAACACACAGATTGAAAGAGATGGAGGAGCACAGTTCAGACGCTTCACAGAGAAACACATTCATCTTCATCATTCCTCCAGAGGCAGCACCAGAGGCAGCACCAGAGGCAGCACCAGAGGCAGCAGCAGAGGCAGCAGCAGAGGCAGCACCAGAGGCAGCAGCAGAGGCAGCACCAGAGGCAGCAGCAGAGGCAGCAGCAGAGGCAGCAGCAGAGGCAGCAGCAGAGGCAGCACCAGAGGCAGCACCAGAGGCAGCACCAGAGGCAGCAGCAGAGGCAGCACCAGAGGCAGCACCAGAGGCAGCACCACAGCCAGCACCACAGCCAGCACCAGAGGCAGCACCACAGCCAGCACCAGAGGCAGCACCAGAGGCAGCACCAGAGGCAGCACCAGAGGCAGCACCAGAGGCAGCACCAGAGGCAGCACCAGAGGCAGCACCACAGCCAGCACCAGAGGCAGCACCACAGCCAGCACCAGAGGCAGCACCAGAGGCAGCAGCAGAGGCAGCACCACAGCCAGCACCAGAGGCAGCACCAGAGGCAGCACCAGAGGCAGCAGCAGAGGCAGCACCACAGCCAGCACCAGAGGCAGCACCAGAGGCAGCAGCAGAGGCAGCACCAGAGGCAGCAGCAGAGGCAGCACCAGAGGCAGCACCAGAGGCAGCACCACAGCCAGCACCAGAGGCAGCACCAGAGGCAGCAGCAGAGGCAGCAGCAGAGGCAGCACCAGAGGCAGCACCAGAGGCAGCACCAGAGGCAGCACCAGAGGCAGCACCAGAGGCAGCAGCAGAGGCAGCACCACAGCCAGCACCAGAGGCAGCACCAGAGGCAGCAGCAGAGGCAGCACCAGAGGCAGCACCAGAGGCAGCAGCAGAGGCAGCACCACAGCCAGCACCAGAGGCAGCACCAGAGGCAGCAGCAGAGGCAGCACCACAGCCAGCACCAGAGGCAGCACCAGAGGCAGCACCAGAGGCAGCAGCAGAGGCAGCACCAGAGGCAGCACCAGAGGCAGCAGCAGAGGCAGCACCAGAGGCAGCACCAGAGGCAGCACCAGAGGCAGCACCAGAGGCAGCACCAGAGGCAGCAGCAGAGGCAGCACCAGAGGCAGCAGCAGAGGCAGCACCAGAGGCAGCACCAGAGGCAGCACCACAGCCAGCACCACAGCCAGCACCAGAGGCAGCACCACAGCCAGCACCACAGCCAGCACCAGAGGGAGCACCAGAGGCAGCACCAGAGGCAGCACCAGAGGCAGCACCAGAGGCAGCAGCAGAGGCAGCACCAGAGGCAGCAGCAGAGGCAGCAGCAGAGGCAGCACCAGAGGCAGCACCAGAGGCAGCACCAGAGGCAGCACCAGAGGCAGCAGCAGAGGCAGCAGCAGAGGCAGCACCAGAGGCAGCACCAGAGGCAGCACCAGAGGCAGCAGCAGAGGCAGCACCACAGCCAGCACCAGAGGCAGCACCAGAGGCAGCACCAGAGGCAGCACCAGAGGCAGCACCAGAGGCAGCACCAGAGGCAGCACCAGAGGCAGCACCAGAGGCAGCAGCAGAGGCAGCAGCAGAGGCAGCACCAGAGGCAGCAGCAGAGGCAGCACCAGAGGCAGCACCAGAGGCAGCACCAGAGGCAGCACCAGAGGCAGCACCAGAGGCAGCACCAGAGGCAGCACCAGAGGCAGCAGCAGAGGCAGCACCAGAGGCAGCACCAGAGGCAGCAGCAGAGGCAGCAGCAGAGGCAGCAGCAGAGGCAGCACTGGGCTACACAGCGGCTAACTGCTAATTATTAAAAGTGATCTAAAGCAAGCAGTACAAACAAGATTTCATTTTATTATTGTTTTAAATTAGCTCCATGAAAAACCATTGGTCCAATTGAGCCGGAACATTTCTGACCCAAGTCCAACCTTTTATCTATAGTCCACCTTAAGAAATGCTAACAGGAAATTCAAGTTTTACAGGTTTTAATTATGACTTGGCATGAAATCTTACATTAGTGCTACTTTAAAGGGCCCTGATGTGTCATCAAAGAGTCCTAATCTGTCATCACTAAAGGGCCCTAATCTGTCCTCATTAAAGGGCCCTAATTAAAGGGCGGCACGGTGGCTGAGTGGATAGCACTCTCGCCTCTCAGCAAGAAGGTCCTGGGTTCGAATCCCGGCCGGACCAGGGCCTTTCTGAGTGGAGTTTGCATGTTCTCCCCGTGTCTGCGTAGGTTTCCTCCGGGTGCTCCGGTTTCCCCTACCACTAAAAATATGTCCAATAGTTCTGGCATGCGCCTCCTGTACTGGCGACCCCGCTCCCATCTCTGTGTGGAGTGAGAGACAAATGCCCAAAATTAACAATTGTAAACCGCTTTGTGACTCTGGTCTGCAGTGAAAAGGCGGTATATAAATAAAAACTTACTTACTTACTTAATCTGTCCTCATTAAAAGGGCCCTAATCTGTCCTCATTAAAAGGGCCCTAATCTGTCATCATTAAAAGGGCCCTAATCTGTCCTCATTAAAAGGGCCCTAATCTGTCATCATTAAAGGACAGAACTAAAAAAGGTCTCGTTATGATTCTCAAATCATTAACGACAAAACAAGGAATAAAACCAGGATTTCTATCTTTGTGAAAAAGGTGTTGGTTATAGATTTGTTGTTGACAAAACTCTTGTCTATTCAGCTGTTATGGTCCCAGCTGGATTCGTCTGCATATCTGGCAACCTGAGTCAGGGAGAGTGGGAGAGGCTGCAGTACCACTTTTGGCCACACTGTTACTGTACATACTGCTCCTTTAAGAACATAATCATTAGTATCAACACTGCTGATCAAAGGTCTACTCTATTCATCTAAAACTGGAATTAGTTCAATCCATCAACTTACTTACTTCCCTAGACAAGACATCACATCAGCCATAAAGGTGCGTTCAGACCAAACGCGTCTTGAGCGTCCAAAGCGTCGGGTTCACATTGACATAACATGGGGGACGCGCGTCTAGGAGCGTCAAGAGATCACGCGCCTCTCGTCTTCGAGCGTTTTGCGCAGGGCATTTTGAGATTTCTTGGCCGACGCTCGAGTTGAACAATGTTGAACTTTTCGGGAGAAGACGCGAGCCTCGACCAATCAGGAGCCTCCTCCAACAGTGACGTGGTAACGCATTTCACGGCAGGACCGAGGGGGACGACAACACAACAGCTGTGAGGACAAGCTGTGCTGTTAGCCCATGAGCCCTGCAGACTATAACCACCGTGACATGGAGGAGGTCAGTGAGGAGGTGTCTCTGGTAAGTTATTTAAACTTTTCACAATCGCCAATACTTCCCTGAACAATATCTGTAATGTCATCTTTAAACAAACCCACAGATTAAAGCTACACAGAGGAAACAGTCCATGGAGACGGCAGCTGTAGTATGCTAACATGTAGTTAGCTAACACTTATCTGTATTCATATTGTGTATATAATGTATAATCCCATACTAAGACTGGGAATACTGTATAAATAACATTTACTGTATATATGTGTCTTATTATGAAGCACTTTTCATACAATAGTCTGATAAATATAATGAAATAAGAGCACATTATACAGATGTTTCTTTTGTCATTAATAAAGGACATTTGCAGATGACAGTCTCACTTCCAAAAGGTTTAAAGTGGTTAGCCACGCTTCTAAGTTTTATTTGTGTGTATATTTCCATTATATTATGTGTCTGTTCCTCCTCAGTGTCCGTTTCTCCTGCTGTGTGCCTCTAATATTAAATACAGGAAGGATTTCTGTATTTAATTTTGAGGTGTCCATGTTTTAACATGTTTGTTCTTTTTCAGAGACTTTTGGTGAAATGCAACTCAGACTTTCTCTGACAGCAACAAAATCACACGGCATCGTTTCTCCAGCTTCACCTCCTGCTTCACCTCCATCACCTCCAGCTTCACCTCCATCACCTCCTGCTTCACCTCCATCACCTCCTGCTTCACCTCCATCACCTCCTGCTTCACTGCGGATTAACAATATGAACTACAACAAACATCATTTCATGTTTTATTTAATCATCAGTCATGAATAGTTAGAACAGTGGGATCTGCATCTCTGAAGACGAGGAGCAGCAGCAGAAGCAACAGCAGGAGGAGCAACAGCAGGAGGAGCAGCAGCAGGAGCAACAGCAGGAGGAGCAGCAGCAGGAGCAGCAGCAGGAGGAGCAGCAGCAGGAGGAGCAACAGGAGGAGGAGCAGCAGCAGGAGGAGCAGCAGGAGGAGCAACAGCAGGAGCAGCAGCAGGAGGAGCAGCAGGAGGAGCAGCAGCAGGAGGAGCAGCAGGAGGAGCAACAGCAGGAGCAGCAGCAGGAGGAGCAGCAGGAGGAGCAACAGCAGGAGGAGCAGCAGCAGGAGGAGCAGCAGGAGGAGCAACAGCAGGAGCAGCAGCAGGAGGAGCAGCAGGAGGAGCAACAGCAGGAGCAGCAGCAGGAGGAGCAGCAGGAGGAGCAACAGCAGGAGCAGCAGGAGGAGGAGCAGCAGGAGCAACAGCAGGAGCAGCAGGAGGAGCAGCAGCAGGAGGAGCAGCAGGAGCAACAGCAGGAGCAGCAGGAGGAGCAGCAGCAGGAGGAGCAGCAGCAGGAGCAGCAGCAGGAGGAGCAGCAGGAGGAGCACCAGCAGGAGCAGCAGCAGGAGGAGAAGAAGGAGGAGCAACAGCAGGAGCAGCAGGAGGAGGAGCAGCAGGAGGAGCAACAGCAGGAGCAGCAGGAGGAGCAGCAGCAGGAGGAGCAGCAGGAGGAGCAGCAGGAGGAGCAACAGCAGGAGCAGCAGGAGGAGCAGCAGCAGGAGGAGCAGCAGGAGGAGCAGCAGGAGGAGTAACAGCAGGAGCAGCAGCAGGAGGAGCAGCAGGAGGAGCAACAGCAGGAGCAGCAGCAGGAGGAGCAGCAGGAGGAGCAACAGCAGGAGCAGCAGGAGGAGGAGCAGCAGGAGGAGCAACAGCAGGAGCAGCAGGAGGAGCAGCAGCAGGAGGAGCAGCAGCAGGAGCAGCATCAGGAGGAGCAGCAGGAGGAGCAACAGCAGGAGCAGCAGCAGGAGGAGCAGAAGGAGGAGCAACAGCAGGAGCAGCAGGAGGAGGAGCAGCAGGAGGAGCAACAGCAGGAGCAGCAGGAGGAGCAGCAGCAGGAGGAGCAGCAGGAGGAGCAGCAGGAGGAGCAACAGCAGGAGCAGCAGCAGGAGGAGCAGCAGGAGGAGCAACAGCAGGAGGAGCAGCAGCAGGAGGAGCAGCAGGAGGAGCAACAGGAGGAGCAACAGCAGGAGGAGCAGCAGGAGGAGCAGCAGGAGGAGCAACAGCAGGAGCAGCAGGAGGAGCAGCAGCAGGAGGAGCAGCAGGAGGAGCAACAGCAGGAGGAGCAGCAGGAGGAGCAGCAGGAGGAGCAACAGCAGGAGCAGCAGCAGAGTCCTGGGCGTCTGCCTCTGACACCTTCATAGAGAGCCTGGAAATAAAAAATAAAACTTGGTGTTATTATAATTTAGTTTTTTGTGTCTGAAGTGTAAAGAGTCATGAAAAATAAGGTATTATTGACACAGGTACATATTTGTCAGCAGTACTTAAAGTTCTAATGGAATACATTCAACTCTAATCTGATCAGTGACAGTCTGTTGCTTTTCAAGACTTCAAAAAGGGCAGTTCTAGGCCTTTCCTGTGTTCAACTGCTTTTTACTGATGTTCGTTATAATACAGATCCATGGATATTATTATTATAGATCCATGGATATTATTATTATAGATCCATGGATATTATTATTATTATAGATCCATGGATATTATTATTATAGATCCATGGATATTATTATTATTATAGATCCATGGATATTATTATTATTATAGATCCATGGATATTATCATTATAGATCCATGGATATTATTATTATTATAGATCCATGGATATTATTATAGATCCATGGATATTATTATAGATCCATGGATATTATTATAGATCCATGGATATTATTATAGATCCATGGATATTATTATAGATCCATGGATATTATTATTATTATAGATCCATGGATATTATTATTATAGATCCATGGATATTATTATTATTATAGATCCATGGATATTATTATTATTATAGATCCATGATATTATTATTATAGATCCATGGATATTATTATTATAGATCCATGGATATTATTTTCTTTATTAGAGATCCATGGATATATTATTATTATAGATCCATGGATATTATTATTATATAGATCCATGGATATTATTATTATTATAGATCCATGGATATTATTATTATTATAGATCCATGGATGGATTATTATTATTATTATGATAAATTATAGATCCATGGATATATTATTATTATAGATCCATGGATCCATGGATATTATTATTATTATAGATCCATGGATATTATTATTATAGATCCATGGATATTATTATGTATTATTATAGATCCATGGATATTATTATTATAGATCCATGGATATTATTATTATTATAGATCCATGGATATTATCATTATAGATCCATGGATATTATCATTATAGATCCATGGATATTATTATTATAGATCCATGGATATTATCATTATAGATCCATGGATATTATCATTATAGATCCATGGATATTATTATTATAGATCCATGGATATTATTATTATAGATCCATGAATATTATTATTATAGATCCATGGATATTATTATCATAGATCCATGGATATTATTATTATAGATCCATGGATATTATTATTATAGATCCATGGATATTATTATTATAGATCCATGGATATTATTATTATAGATCCATGGATATTATCATTTATGGCATATGTGCATTGTTTACATACAATATGACTTTGTAAAAACGAATGATTACTGCCAATACAATTGTTATAACAGAGAAAGTCCGTAACAAAAGCCTCGGATTTACAGGTTTATGACTGTGAGAGCTCCACTGATGTGTCCCCGCGTTGAGACGCTCTTTCTCGGCTTGAGCCCTGCCCGACCCCCGCTCTCTGCACTGGAGAAAAGTCCGACAATGTTCTTTTTGATCACTAAACAAACCTCCGATATGACAATAGAGGGGGGTATTTCTCTAATTATAGCATATTTTACACTTTTTACCTTAATCCTGGCTCCCGTGTCCTTCCCTCTCCGAGTTGTGTTGGCAACAGAGCAGACCTGTCCCAAAACGCTCTTCCTTGACGCGCCTCCAGAACGCTGCCCTCTAGTGTCCTGGACACGTGTGACGCGCCTCCAGAACGCTGCCCTCTAGTGTCCTGGACACGTGTGACGCGCCTCCAGAACGCTGCCCTCTAGTGTCCTGGACACGTGTGACGCGCCTCCAGAACGCTGCCACTAGTGTCCTGGACACGTGTGACGCGCCTCCAGAACGCTGCCCTCTAGTGTCCTGGACACGTGTGACGCGCCTCCAGAACGCTGCCACTAGTGTCCTGGACACGTGTGACGCGCCTCCAGAACGCTGCCACTAGTGTCCTGGACACGTGTGACGCGCCTCCAGAACGCTGCCACTAGTGTCCTGGACACGTGTGACGCGCCTCCAGAACGCTGCCACTAGTGTCCTGGACACGTGTGACGCGCCTCCAGAACGCTGCCCTCTAGTGTCCTGGACACGTGTGACGCGCCTCCAGAACGCTGCCACTAGTGTCCTGGACACGTGTGACGCGCCTCCAGAACGCTGCCCTCTAGTGTCCTGGACACGTGTGACGCGCCTCCAGAACGCTGCCCTCTAGTGTCCTGGACACGTGTGACGCGCCTCCAAGATGCTCTGTGACAGCGTCTGCCACAAGTTGTCACAAGCGTCCCAAGAGGCGCGTCAGACGCGATTTTGCCGCAGAAAATGTGTTTGGTCTGAACGCACCTTAAATCATACCCATTAAAATCTACATAAAGATTTAAAAATTTGGGCATTAAAAACAAAGACTTATTAATCACACAAGTAAAATAAAATAAAAAAAACATAATCCATCAGTGGTTCTGGTAAAATTCCAGTAAAGGGATTGTTTAACATTACATTTACAGCCGTCCCTTTTGATGCACAGCAGCACCTTTGGAAAAACTGATGAATATTGAATCCACTTTGAGTTTATCAATGTTTCTGATACACATTAACTCTTCGACGGTTTACTCAAACATTTCGCAGATCACTTTGAGTCACTGCAATAACGTGAAGCTTGGAACTGAAATCTCCATCATTTGGGTTTCGGCACTTTTATATCACACTGCAGCTCTATCACTAGAGGCCTAGAATAACATAGGAATAAATGACAGAAGAATTTAAAAATAATAAAAGGGGTTTACAAAAATACATTGGTTTTAAATCAAGGAGTGAACATTAAAGGGTTAAGTTCAATCCACATTTCATAAACAGTTTCCAAAGTGCTGCACAATACAATCCTAATTAAAACAAATCCTTAGGCTATATCCACACGAAGACAAAACGCTTATAATTTCAGAAACTTTTTCTGTAAACACGGAGTTAGCTCAGTAAATGTGTGCGTCCATATGAATGTAGTCAATACGCCTGAAAACGCTGTGAAACTATGCCAGACCTGTTGGTGGCGCTGTGACGCAATGACGGGATCAAGCCCAAACTTCCGTGACGGGAACTGGGCATGTGCAGAATGTTGTAAACAGACAACATGGCGAGTGTGCGAGCTGGTACTACATTAGTATGGACGGACGATGAGGTTGAACTGTTGCTTCGGGTCACACTGGATTACAAAACCAACAAGCTACATTGTTGTTGTCATTATTTTCTGAGTGCGGCGCATGCTGCTTTAACAAGAGGCGGGGCGATGACGCAAGCGTCTCAGATACATTGCGGAGAGGCAGTAACCACGGAGCGGCATATACGGAGTTTTGAAATCTTTCCACTCTGGGACCTAGTTTCAAAAATGTTCGTTTACACCCCCCCAAAACGCCGGCCTCGTATGGACGATACACTGGATTGATAAAGTATTTTTGCGTTTAGGCCTGAGCTTGACTTCGTGTGGACAGGGCCTTAGTAAACCATTAAAATCATTCAAAATCAAATATGAAAAACTGTGTATAGATTAAGATATCCTATATTTCGTGGGGAAATTTCAGTGTTGCATCACAAGTTATAGAACAGTAGGAAAGAGAAGCACACAGCACAAGTGAACAATATGTATAAATATAAAAATAACAATAAAAACTAAACTAAATAAATAAAATAAAAGGGCCAACTCACGCAGTGTTAAAGCCAAAGCATAAAAATGGTTGAGTTTTTCCTCCAAATGCTTTCTTTCCAGATTCGAACCACACGTGTCTGAAATCACCACGATTACCGTCAGAATCCCACAGCAGCTTCGTAATATCTCCACAGAGTGATTAGGAAACTCATGATCAATCATCTCACACAGCCCGAGCGCGTGGCGGCTCTCATCAATCCTTTGTGCTCGCCGCTCGCTCCGGCGTTCCCGGTGTAATGGCGTTCCCGGTGTAATGGTGTTCCCGGTGTAATGGCGTTCCCGGTGTAATGGCGTTCCCGGTGTAATGGCATTCCCGGTGTAATGGTGTGAGGGTTTGTGAAGGCCCAGGGTCCGGCGCCGCTCATCTGTCAGAGCCGCCCATCACGCTAACGCCACAACAGCAGCTCGTGGCATTTCTATTCTGAAGGTCATTCACGAGTTTACAGAGACAGAGGAAAGTGAAGGACCAAGTGTCGGGTTTGACGTCTGCTTCCTGCGACAATCAAAGCATGTTTCAGAACCTCCTCGACAACCACACAACCACATCAGCACAACGTCACACAACCACATCAGCACACAACCACATCAGCACAACGTCACACAACCACATCAGCACAACGTCACACAACCACATCAGCACACAACCACATCAGCACAACGTCACAACCACATCAGCACAACGTCACAACCACATCAGCACAACGTCACACAACCACATCAGCACAACGTCACACAACCACACAACCACATCAGCACAACGTCACACAACCACACAACCACATCAGCACAACGTCACAACCACAACGTCACACAACCACATCAGCACAACGTCACACAACCACAACGTCACACAACCACATCAGCACAACGTCACACAACCACATCAGCACAACGTCACACAACCACACAACCACACAACCACATCAGCACAACGTCACACAACCACATCAGCACAACGTCACACAACCACATCAGCACAACGTCACAACCACAACGTCACACAACCACATCAGCACAACGTCACACAACCACACAACCACATCAGCACAACGTCACACAACCACATCAGCACAACGTCACACAACCACACAACCACATCAGCACAACGTCACACAACCACACAACCACATCAGCACAACGTCACACAACCACATCAGCACAACGTCACAACCACATCAGCACAACATCACACAACCGCACAACCACATCAGCACAACGTCACACAACCACACAACCACATCAGCACAACGTCACACAACCACATCAGCACAACGTCACAACCACATCAGCACAACGTCACACAACCACACAACCACATCAGCACAACGTCACACAACCACATCAACACAACGTCACACAATCACATCAGCACAACGCCACACAACCACATCAGCACAACGTCACACAACCACATCAGCACAACGCCACACAACCACATCAGCACAACGTCACACAACCACATCAGCACAACGCCACACAACCACATCAGCACAACGTCACACAACCACATCAGCACAACGTCACACAACCACATCAGCACAACGTCACACAACCACACAACCACATCAGCACAACGTCACAACCACAACGTCACACAACCACATCAGCACAACATCAGGGATTACAGCAGGAACTTTGTAAATGGATGCAGTTAAAGTAGAATAAAGGACTTGGGTTACAGGGCGGCTGGAGAGCACTCTCGCTTCTCAGCAAGAAGGTCCTGGGTTCGAATCCCTGTCGGAACAGGGGCCTTTGAGTGGAGTTTGCATGTTCTCCCTATGTCTGTGTAGGTTTTCTTCCAGGTGCTCCGGTTGCCCCTACCACTAAAAACAGGCACAATAGGTCTGACTGTAGTGAATGAATAGAGGGTGTTTGGTCGGAGGCTTTGATGGACCAGTGTGTTCAGCGACTCGCTTCTGTCATCTCTGTGTAGAAGGATTGGAACCAAATCTGAACATTGTAAAGTGCTTTAGGTCACCTAAAGCACTTTAGGTCACCTAAAGCACTTTAGGTGACCTAAAGCACTTTAGGTCACCTAAAGCACTTTAGGTGACCTAAAGCACTTTAGGTCACCTAAAGTGCGCTCTGGCTTCTCAGAAAGAGGAGATTGAATCTGGGTGCTCTGGTTTCCCCTACGTCATATAAAACAATGGTTATACGGTCCTGACCAACCGTAGCATCAACAGTGAGGGTCCCTGGACACTGCTCCCGACAAAGGCCTGAGTGACAGTACAAGGACGGGTCAGATGCAGAGAACACATTTCCCCACAGGGATGAATAAGGACATAATCTTTTGCTGTTCAGATTGTGGTGGCACCAATGGGTGACCAATGATCGTAGAGTGTGGACAGACCGAGCAAACGCAGCCGTTAACGGGAGGCAGGGTCCTCTTTCCCTGGGGCCTTAAGGAGATGGAACAATAAGATCTACTGCACAAAACAAAAGCAGTACATGGTTCCTCAGAGTGAATGAGACGTTCAGAGAACGTTACTGCTCTTCGCTCGTCAGGACTGTTTAAGGCAAAGATAATATAGATCTTAACTCGTACGTACTTCAACACAGGCGCTACACATATTAAATGTTCAACGAGACTGTTGCACTTTGGAGAAATGTGTTTATGATCTACAGTGATTTATGAAAGTGGATGTGAGTGAATGTGTGTGTTGGTTTTTAAATAGTGTCGTTAAAAACTATTCTGATTAACTTTATCAAATGAGTATCCTTCCCAGTGATAGTGTGGGTTACTCTAGACCTGACCCTCCGTTTCCACACATTGCAAATGATATTTATAACCTGTGGATGTGTTTAGACCCCGCCTGATCCTGAACTCATTAACACGTCTAAGATCTAAGATCCTCATGTAACAGCAGCGTGTTCCAACAGGTGACGATGCGTCTGTGTTGATTGTATTTATCTATAGCTTTCTACAGAGTCTTAATCCCCAGATCACATGCATCTTTATGTATTTATTACTTTCATTTCCTTTCCCAAACCTGTTCATAAAAAACATGAGATTGTAATTAACAGATAAGTTCACGATGTGACATAATCCCTCTATCATTTATTGTTTTTTTTCTCTATTTTCTGTTTTTACACAACCCCTCCAATTTGACCTAGTACGAGTTGTTCCTTGATGAGCTGTGACTGCGAAGAGAAGAAACAAAAGACAACGAACACACAGGTGGAACAGTGCTTTACACACTCCAGGGCTGCCCTCCGCCCGAACAGCCAGTCCCAAACGGACCATTATCTGTGCAGCCGCTGACGGAGGCCGCTGACGGAGGCCGCTGCAGGCGAAACACTCACTTCAATTTGACTGGAAGAAAAACACCTCAGTTTGTCTTACCCTCCTCGTCCTTTTTCACACTGCATCACTCTTTAACTGCATCCAAACCATATATATTTTTAGTCATGTTTTAAACAAGACATATATAAACTTCTGTATAGAGACTTAAACCATGAAAGAACCATAGACTGTATATATTAACGGACAGAGTCACGCCTATCTCCGCTGTTCTAACTAATGGGCCAAAAAATGTGCTCTACTGGAGCTATCCAAAATGGCCGCGAGTGGTCCCGCCCACAAGAAAATTGTGAAAAAACGCATCTGCGCATGCGTCAGCCGGAGCAGCTCCATTCATTTGAACGAGAGACTTCAAAAATTCACAGCAAGTAAACTAGAGTGGACCAAAACACTCAGCATTGACACACATGTGGAACGGAGCTTTGGGCCAAGAGCCATGGTCCATCCTGTAAAGACGTTTTTGAGAGGTCTGCCAATGCTATATGTTAGCATTGGCTAATTCTACTTCCGGGTCCACCCCCACAGGCCCGGGGTGGTACTGCAGCATGTCAGCGCACCTCATTTTGGCCACTTTTGAGCTGGGACCCGCCCCCACTGGAAAGAACACAATGTCTGGGTTTACTAATTAAATACTTGAGCTCATGTAAAACGGCCACGTCTCCCACACCTCCTGAGTGCTCTGCAGCCGTCTGCCAGGGGCAGAACGAGGAAATGACTGAACATTAACTCTGTAGGCGCAACAGTGGATTTAAGTCAAACAACTGTTTAAAACAACAGCAGGCTTCAAACTTCATCCAAACTTTACCACGTTCTTGTGTTTGGGTTCTAGACAGATTTATCATATATTCCAGTTTATTTGTGAGTGGTTTTTGTACCATCCTCAATAACGTTTCCATTAAGCCTATACTCAGTCTCCATCCGGTATCTAAAACCCATTTTACGATGCGTAGAATTAGTGGTGAAAGAACCTATTAAACCATAACTCCACAATCCCTTATGCATGTATTAACCTCTTTCGTTTTAAATCTTCCTGTTTGTTCACGGTGAGTGTAGCTGCACTCTATGTTTTTAATGATGCAAGACAGAGAGGGCTGGAGCGAAAACCCACCTCTGAATATCTAAAAACAAGCAGCCATTAGAGAGGCATTTGCGTTCTCAGAATTACAGACGGCAGCACTTAGCTAAGATGCTATTACACATGGCTCCTGGGTAGTTAAACTTGCCGTTTTAAGTTTAAGCCTTGCACATTTTATGGAATGATATACGATCTTGGCCTTCTTTACTTACCGTTGGAGGGTAGCTGTTCTGATGATGCACCATTCTCATTGTACTGTAGATATGGAGCTCTCAAAAGATTGAAACCAGGATCCTCTCTTTGCCACACTTCACAAGCAAGTCCTGAAATCTACCAGCTTTGCAACTTTTTAATAACATTTCATACTCTGCTAGATGTGCAGTATCGGCTAATACAGCGCTAACCATAAGAGGATGATTAAAACCTGCTGCCAGGAGCTGATAGCATTAACCTGTCAGCCTGGTGATGAACGACCTTCATATCTATCAACTTTATTGTCTGAAAAGAGAAAATATTTAGAGATAATGTGATTAGCAAAGCCGCGGGAGCAAAGAAAGGAATCATGGAGGATACAGCGAGGCACAATTAGCAGGAGGTCACAGCAGAGGGTTGGAGCAACACAAAGTGGGAGCATTTGTTCAGCTCGACCGCACTTTATGGATCATCTTAACTAAGCTTCGATCTGAAGAGAAGTGATCGCCATTCTCCATAAAACACTACTGACACTGCACTGTGAAGTACATGAAGTACTACTGACACTGCACTGTGAAGTACATGAAGTACTACTGACACTGTGCTAAGCTCATAATCATGAGGTACGTGAGGTAATAATAATAAATCTGTTTTGTATTTTTTTGGGACACTCAATTATCCTCTCTCTCCAAACACGGTGGTGATAAACTCCTGTAGCCACAGCTGCCCTGGGGCACACTGACAGAAGCGAGGCAACCAGTCTGTGCCATCGGCCCCTCCCACCACTACCAACCATTCACACACACACCAGACTCATTCTAATGTGGGGGAAGTGTCTTGCCTAAGGACACAACCACAGTTTGGCACTTTACAGCCGCAGCAGCCCCACTGTGGCACCTGCTGTTCCCAGAGGTTAAGTGTCTTGCCTGTCGCCCCTTCATTAGGTACTACATGAAGTACATGTGGTACATAACGTCACTTTACTGCTGTCACCTTATATTGTGTGCATCATGTGCACTTATATAGTAATTATAATAATTATATTTTTCTAAATCCTAAACTC